AGGAAAAGGGAAGGGGACACCGACAGAGTCAGAGCTTGGGGACAATGCCCTTTGTGAAATGAGCTGTCACTGAAGGACGCACTCTTGGCGGTGACTGTGCCTATGAGGGCCCTGTTCAGAGTTGCTGAGACAGAAAGTAGATTGTGGCTCGGGGGACAGAGAGCTACTTCACAGGTGCGGTTTACTTCACAAATGGCTTTCTATGTATTAGCTGCTCAACAACAGAACTGCTGTGTGAGTCGTAAATCTTATGCACATTTTCACAATTTAAAAACAGGCACATGGGTGTGGTGGCACACACCTGTAATCCTACACTCCGGAAGGCTGAGGCAGAAGGACTGCAAGTCAGCCCAGTCTGGGCAACTAAGAGACCTAATGAGACTCTTACCAGAAAATAAGGACTGAGGATACAGCTCAGCGGCACAGCCTGCCTGGCAAGCACAATGCTCTGAGTTTGATTCCCAGTGAAAAAGACCCCAAAACCCCAACATTCTACTTGCTGGGCATGATGATACGGGTCTGTAATCCCAGCACTTGGGAGGAGGCTAAGGCAGGAGGAGTTTGAAGCCAGCCTGGGTTACAAAGTGCATCCAAGGTCAGCCTGAAGAGACACCCTGTCTTAAAAAGGCAAAACCCTCCCTAAACCCAGAAAAGCCCCAAATCCTCACTACTGCAAACAAAACAAAAAAGGAAAGAAGGGCCAGTGAGATAGCTCAGTAGACTAAAGCACCTTCTTAGGCAAGCGCAGGGACCCCTGTAATCCCAACAGCGCATGCCTGCAATCCCAACACTGGGGAGGCTGACAGCAGGAGGATCACTTGAGTCTGAGGTGCGTAGTGAGACCCTGTAACAAGCAAACACATTTAAAAAAAGGAAAGAAGGAAAACAATCTGTCTATGGAGAAGCAGCAGCAGCCAGCCATGACCTGTCCTCGCACTGGCCTGGGACAGACCCTTGGGCACACAAGCATCCTGGAGCGCCCTGGGTGCCTGGGGCTGCCAGTCCACACTACCCCTGCCCTCTTCTGTCACTGTATGCTGTGCTTGTATCTCACGCCTTCTGTGCCCCTCATAGCACATAACAGGGCATGAGAAATCTCAGAGCAGAAGACTGATTTTTTGGGAGATCTGGTCTTACTATGCTGGTCTCAGACTTGCAGTGATCCTCCTGCCTCAGCCTCCTGAGTGCTGGAGCTATAGGTGTGTGCCACTACTCCCTGCAGAACTGATGTCCATAAATGTGCCTCTTAAGTGTGTTTTGGACAAAATCCTCAGTGGTTGCCCTTTAAAGGTTTTCTTAACATATTTGCTTCTTTGTGCAGAACTAATTAAACAGCCCCATGGAGAAGAGGTAGCCCAGAGGCTGGGGTGATGGCTGCCAGACCCGCACCGGGTCGCACCCCCAGCTCCTCCCTGTGTGCCCGAGTGCTGTGATTCCATGGTGACGGAGAGACGCTCGGAACCGTTCTGAGCAGGACTTTCCTGACTACAGGCCTGGAGAGCAGGGAAGAGCACCAGGCCAGCTCCCGAGGCCAGAGAAGCTGGCCCTTTTAGAGAGCGCACCCAAACTGCAACCCAATACCACTTACTTCTCGAAAAGTGCCCACTATGAAATTAAGCCTGGGAGCCAGGGAGATGGCTCAGAAGAATAAGAGCTTCCCTGGCAAGCGCAAGGGCTGAAGTTCAATCCCCGGTTCCACCAAAAAAAAAAAAAAAAAGAAAAAAGAGAAAAAAAAAATTAAGCCTGAATACTGAGGTCTGAGCTTAGAAAAAGCAAAACTGCTTTCTGGCGCTCAGCTGCTGAGGCACGCAAGCAGCTGTGTGGCGACAGAAAGGGCTCTGCACGCCTGCTGAGGCTCCTGTACCCCAGGCTCGCCACCCTGCATGGGGCACTGGAGGTGGGCTGTACCTTGTTGTCACCACCTGAGACAGCGAGGATGTTGGTGGTGATGGACCAGCTCACGTGCCACACAACGTCGTTGAACTTGTGCAACAACTTAGGCGACCATGTGTTGCCCGAGAGATCTTCACAGGTCCAGATGAACACTCGGCCATCCTAGAAGACAGGCTAGAGTCGGGTGGGGAGGAGCCCTGCGGCAGCCTCCGCGGGCAGGGTGGGGGAGTCCGGGCCCGGGCACCAGCAGCTCGCAGCACTATGATGTGAGGCCCATCAGCCCCTGTCACAGCTGCTGGTGCCTCAGCTAGGGACTTGGCATTGCTAACTTCATTTTCTTGGGATTCTGCTCCTGCCTGTGGGGTTATTTCTCTAGTTTGTGTTACTATCTAACTAGTACAGCTTTCTAAAACCAAACCTTGGGGCCTGTAAGATAGCTCAGTGGTCTAAAGTGCCTACTTAGGCAAGCCTAGGAAAGTGCAGGGACCATGGTTCGATTCCTGACACCATGTGCCATGCCAGTCCTGCCCCAGGAAAAAAAAGCCAACCTCAGGAAACAAGAAGGGTCAAGCACAAAGAGAAAAATAACAAAAATTTAGAGCCAAATAAAAAGACTGTAATGGTAGAGAAGGTGGTGGTGCCACTTGGGGGCGGCTGCCTGACCTGAAGCTCAGTGGCACAGTCATCTGGGAAGGCTGGCTGGGTAGATGGGTCCACCCCCACCACACCAAGGGTGGAGAAGCCACTGTGGCTTTGGACTGCCCTGGTGACCCTTCTGCTGCTGTGCTAGTCCTGTCTCCCTCCCAGGGCTGTCTCACCAAGCCTCTGGAAGGCTGAAGGGACTTGTCAACAACAGGGTGTACATGCTTGGGGCTGTGCTGACCTGGGAGCAGCTGGCGATGGTGCTGGTGGGCAGGCCAATGGAGGGGGCCCAGGCCACGTCTCGAACCCAGTCACTGTGTGCCTCCAGCTTCTGGTCCTCCTTCCACTGGCCGTCCTCGTCCTCCCTGAGGAGATTGGAGGGAGAACCAGAGGCCCATGCTGCCCCCTCCCATGCACAGGCTAGGCCTACTTCATGTAGTTCCCCCAGTGTGCAGACCCTCAGGAAAGGGCTCTCTCCATCCCCAGCTCCAGCAGCTGGGAGTCAGGTGAGCACAAAAGGGCAGGCTTCTGCAGCTTTAAAGGTGACCTGGTAGATTATCAACAGCACTTTACTGGCCAGGAGGAGGACAATGACCTTGCTTTTTCCAGCTGTGGCAGACAGAGGGCATAAGGCTTCCCTGAGGAGTCTGCACAGCTCACTTACTTCCAGAGTTTGATGAGGTTGTCACAGCCACCAGAAGCAAACTTCTTGATGTAGCTGGGTTTCTGCCCAGACGGCTGGTCTATGAGGCTTCCAGGTACAACAGCAGGAGCCCAGCTGACTGCGTTGCAGCCGATCTGCAAAGAGGGAACACGTGGTGACATGGCCCTTTCTCTACAGCAGGACACTGTGCTCTGCAGGCCCAGGGTTATGGGTCATTCCTCTCTAGCCACTCACAGCTCTGCCTCACAGGGCCCAGCTCTGCAAGGTACGTGTTGAGAGCAGCAACGAGGAACATATACGTTACTTTTTCAAATACATGAAAGGAAGACACACGCATGCCTACTGAAAGAGAAGTTTTAAAAAAAGTCTTTAGAAAGCCACAGAAAAGGAGGCTGGGCATTGTGGTGCCTACCTGTAATCCCTGCACTTAGGAGGCTGAGGCAGAAGGATTGTTGCAAATTCAAGAGCAGCCTGGACTAGCAAGTGAGCTCAAGGCCACCCTGAAGTGTAACATGAGTCCCTATTTCAAAAAGACAAAACAAACAACACCCCCCCCACAAAAAAAAAGAACAACCAAAAAGCCCCACAGAAAATAGACAGCTTAAGGAATCACTCCAAACACTCCTGTAGCCACCACCAGTCAAATGATGCCCCTGTCTGAGATCTCATGTGTCCCATCCTAACACAGCACTTGGTCTCCTACTACCCAGACTTCTCATCTGTTCCCTCCCTCCCTGCCTGGCTTTGTCCCTCAAACATGCATTCCTTGACACTACAGTGTGTGCACGCCTGTAATCCCAGCACTCTGACAGGCCGAGGCAGGAGAATGACCCAAGTTCACACCCAGTCTGGGCAACTCAGTGGGCCACTATCTGGAAGTAAGAAATAACTGGGGATACAGCTGGGCGCAAAGGCTCTGGGTTCAATCACAAGTACAAAAAAGAAAGGGGGGAGGGGAGGCACCCTGCCATTTCTCAGTATGCAGCTTTCCTGGGGGAGGCCTGCGCTGTGCTCTGCTGTGCACGCAGCTCCTAGGCTCCTCTGTGGTCCTGAGAAGGCTCACATGCAGCCTCACATCTCTTGGTCTCGACCCTTTGTGAGTCACTGCATTTGTACTGATGCTCGCAAGGCACTGGCGTATCATTTTTGTTGTCTGAAGCTTTTCTAGTACATACCGCAGGTACCACACAACATCCCTGAGTTCTTGCATACTGATAGCAGTTTGTGTCCTTTATGCACCAAAGTACATTTTAAAACTGGCTTTGTGTTTATCAGCTTTTTGTCACTGTGACAAAATACATGACACTCACAACACTGTGAGGGGCCTGCTGGCTCTAGGCAAGAGTACCGGAGTAGAAGGGTTTGGCAGGGCAAGGCTGCTGACAGACACGGTGGCCAGGCAGCAAAGCACAGGGCCAGTGCGCAGAAAGGCAGGAGCCAGGGGCCAGATGCAGACCCCAAGTTGCACCCCTTCCTCTGGCCAGGCCGCCCCTCCCAACCAGCTGTTCAGCGCTGAACTCAGGAGGTCAGTGCTCACACCACCCAGCCGCCTCTCAGGAGTATCCTAATCCAGTCAGATGACAACCCAGATTAACCGTTCCAGCACAGTCAACTTTTTTTGTTTTGTGGTCTTTATTTTTGGCTTGTTCAGAGCAGGGCTGGAGCAGCATGTCGTGCTGGGCATTGAACCTCTGTCCCCTGCACCAGCCTAAACTTGCCTAAGCAGGCACTTTAGACTGCTGAGCTATCTTGCCAGCCCTGTGGTTCTTTTTATTACTTTTTTTAAATGTATTTAATACAAGGTCTACAGGGTATCACCACACAGATCCGACTCATAGTGATTCTCCTGTTTTCAGCCTCCCAAGTGCTGAGATTACAGGCGTGTGCCACCTGTGGTCTTTTCTGAGACAAGGTCTCACTATGCAGTTCAGGCTGACCCTGAACTCACTATGTAGCCCAGCTAGCCTCCAACTCACAGTGATGCTCCTGCTTTAGTCACCCGAGTGCTGAGCTTATAGGTGTGCGCCAACACGTTGGGCTCCACAATTGACTTTTTTTTTGGTGGTACCAGGGATTGAACTCAGAACCCTGTGCTTGCCAGGTAGGTACTTTAGACAATCGACTGCACATAAAAGTGCAAGGTTTGATGAATTCTGACACAGATATGCCTTGTAAAACCAGCACCACAACCAAGATGCTGAACACAGGCAGCACCCCAAAGGTTTCCTCTTTTTCCAGTGAACTCAGTCTTTCAATCCTGTAGCCTCCAAAGTGGACAACCACAGATTTGCTCACTATAGATTAATTTGCATTTTCTAGAATTTTAGATAGAATCCATAGTATTTTTGTTGTTTTGGTCTTTGTTCACTCAGCATAATTATTTAAAAAAACAAGGATCTTGTGTAGATCAACAACTATTTCTCTTATTGCTGTGCAGCAGCTCTCAAGTATGGGCCCACCATTATCTCTCTTTTTTTTTTTTTAATTTTATGTGTGTGTGTGTGTGTGTGTGTGTGTGGCCAGCTCAGCCCACCAGGGGGCGGGGCTGGCTGGCATGTAGTGCTGGGGGATTGAACCGTGGTCCCTGTGCTTTGCTAAGCTTGTTCCAAGTAGGTGCTTTAGACCACTGGGCCATCTCACCAGCCCCCACCATTATCTCTTTATCTGTCTCCCTGCTGACAGGCACTTGGTTGGCACCTTCCCTTGTGTATTTTATACATGCAACTGATTTCTTTTATTTTGCTTCTCTTGCAATGCTACAGATGGAACCCAGGCCCGTGAGCATATTAGGCAACTGCTCTACCACTGATTACAACCCTGACCTATTTTTTGTTTTACGTGAGATTATGCTTGAGTAGTTTTCCTAATCAGGGAAGCCTTTCTGGACTCAGAACTCTCGTTTTGTACGATGGCAGTCTGTGCTCAGCTGCCCTCCTCTGCCGCTCCCTGGCTGGTCTAACCTGTCCCACCCACGCCCCTAGCAGGCTCCACTTCAATTTCACTACAGTAGTCTGTCCTCACAAGGAGTCCTAGAAGCAAGCTGCACGTCATGCTTCTTCAGGTTCATCACGGCCCCCTGCACTCACCTAGTTGAGGACAGACTCTCTCATTTTTCTAAAGATATACAAATGGCCAAAAGCATGTGAAAAGATGCCCAGTATTTTTTTTTTTTTTTTTGTATCTTAGGGAAGGGTCTACAGGGTGTTCAGGGTCTTACTACTAGATTGGACTCATACTGATTCACCTATTTACAGCCTCCCAAGAGCTGGGATTACAGCCGTGCGCCACCATGCCCAGTCTCAACTGCCATCTCAGTGTGCCCCGGGGGGTAGGGGTGGGGGCAGGGCCAGCGTCTGCACCTGCTTGCAGGTGCTTTAATCCACTGAGCTATTTGGCTGGCCTGCCCAGCATCATTTCTGATTAGCAAAATAAAAAAACACAACAAGTTACTACTCCTCAAGAATAGCTATGATAAAAAGACAGGGTTGGCAGGATGCAGAGAAATCAGAACCTCAAATGCAACTGGGAGTGTTAAAATGTGCGGTTACCCTGAAAAATTGTTTAGTAGCCACAGTCACCGTGCCTCAAGCTCACAGCGAGTTCCTCACAACTGCTAAGATCTGCGACCTGACTGATGAATGGATACGAAGCACATGATGTACTCCTAGGGTCATACTGCCCAGCCGTAAGGAGCACGGACACACACTGTGACAGGGTGAGCCTCGAGCATCAGTAATTTGCTTCTTTCATTCACAAATGTTTGTCAGAATTATAAGACTCACAGTAGACTCAAGAAATGTGAGTTTTCCTCAATGTTCACAAGGTTTTCTGGACTGTTTCAACGTTCAGGTCCAACGAACAGGAGCACAGAGAACTAAATCTCTATGATGCCTCCTAGAGTGCTGCTCAGCTCCAGGAGTCCCAGTGACTGTGCAGAGCATTTCATCTTCCACGACAGTGGCCCTCCTTGCTCTGGGTTGAAGGAGGCCAGGACAGCTGCTGGCTCTAAAGCAGAGGCTCAGCACATCTTCTCTGCCACCCTTCTTGGCCCACTGCCCCGCAGGTCCCCCTCTTCCCCAGGAGACTTGTACAAGCGACAGGGCTGCCCTCTGCAGGGAAGCAGAGCTGGACTTACAGTGTGAGCATTGTTGATCTTCTTCACGTCCCACTGGCCTTCGCCCGTGTAGGTCAGCAGGGAGATGGCCCCATCTGAACTCCCGCAGGCCAGGATCAGGCCATAGTCATGGGGTGCCCAGCACACAGAGTTCACTGCAGGATGCAGGAGGCACAGTGAGCAGCGGGCACAACTACAGGCAGACTGCACTACTGAGTTCCTAAGAGAACTGCAGGGACCACCAGGGGCAGCTGTAATTTTTTTCAACTAGAGACATTAGGAAAAACCCCTACGGCACACAAGTGTCATTTCATAAACTCTACCTTAGCAAAACAAGGAGGAAGGGTAACACCCTGAGAATAAAGGCTGGTACTTAAAATGAATAAACCTAAAAACCCTGCTGTGTTGTGGGGCTCTTTGGTTCTCAGGCCGCACCTGGCAGGAAGACCAACCCCAGCTCCGGGACAGAAGGACGGGAGCTAGGGGGAGGTCAAGATGCGGTCCGCCCCACAGCACCGTGTACCTGAGGAATCATGTCCTGAGTGCTCATGGGTCTTCTCCCAGGTGCCATTCTCCTCCTTCCAGATGATGACTTTCCGGTCATAGGAGCAAGATGCCAGGATATTGCCATACATGGGGTGGGCCCAGGCCACCTGCCACACAGGACCTTCATGACTGCAAGGGGAGGGGACAGAGGCCATTCAGGGGCCACAGGAACCCACAGTCCTCTACCAGGCAGTTCTGGACAGGACTGAATGGCTTCCCTAATAGGGGGAAGTAATATCTGCCTAAGAATTTGAAAAGGGAGGGTTACAGATGTCACTGTGAAGGGCCACCTATTGGACCAAGGCCACAAGAGGCTCAGTAACAGGGGTCAGAGCTTTTCTAAGAGTTAGAACCTCTGTGCCACCAGATGGAACCTCGCCTGCCCAGAATACAGCCAGCACTGCCTTTCCTGCTCTTCTCAGCAGTCGCTCACTGCAGCTGTTCACACTCAGCTGCAGCAACTGTAGGCGGGGTCACACACCACCCTGCCAGAAGGCAACTTCTTCAGTAGGCAGTGTCTGTCTCCTTCGGCTCTTTCCTCTCTTCAAAGCACGTCTTTCCCTTCTCTGCCCTCTACCTGCTCACCTACTGACAGGTACCGTCTGAGCACACACTGAGGCTTCCGTGGGCACCGTGACCTTGTGGCCCATTTCCCCACATGGGCACTCAGCTGCTCTTTCCTCTAATTCAGCTGAACATATACTGAGCACCTTCTCACTGTCTAGGTTCCGCAGGGCAGAACTAGACTTACAAAGAAAACCCTATTATCCTGAAATGCAGTTACCAAAATGCTTGAAAAATGTAAAAGCTAGTGATACACATGCTTTAGGGCCAAGGCATCAAGCAGAAACTGCAGTGGCAGATCTGATAATCTCTATTTCAAAGTCGTATGATAAGCACAAATGATATTCTAAATTATAATGACTAATGCAAAATGCAAACACCTGAGGCAAAATGCTAGTAAGTACAAGCCTGATTGTGGCTTTTGGCCTTCCTCCAAAATCAAAGGCAATGCTAAGTATCATAGTCACTGAAAATATAAAAGTGACTGCTTTTCCCATGCCCTAGTTCACCAAAGCCTGAGTTCTATGTACAAAACCCTTGGAGACTCACGGCAGCCAGAGTAAGAACCACTGCTGTGTGCGAGCCAGTGAGCTGAGGGAAGACAACAGAGGGGCAGCTAAATAAGAGCTAGGAGTAGTAGGGGGAAGCGTGGGGCAAACATCTGTAAATAGCTACTGAACATCTGTCATGCACAAGCAGGTAGGACAACAGGATTTACAAAATGATCCTCACATTCTTACTATAACACTCTTTAAGTTCAATTTTGGTCTTGTTTCTCTGGGACAAGGGTCTCCCTATGTAGCCCAGAATGGCTTTGAACTTGAGGCAAACCTGCTTCAGCTCCCAAGTGCTGGGCACTGATGCTTTGGGCCACAGACTGAGCATGCACAGAATGGTGCCGTTTACTATTTTTAAATGAAGCAGTAACTGCCCACAGTGAAGGCTGCCTGGGGGCTATATACCCTGTCAGGAGCTGGCAGTCTCATAATGAGAATATGGGAAGCAGAGTCAGTGTTCCTGCCTGGGGCCACCTGTGTCACCTTGGGACCATCTCTCAGGTTAGCATGCCTGCACAGGAGCCTGCTGTCACTCTGGGTTCTCATCCTTTCTGCTCATGCTTGTGGAGTGCCTGCAAAGTCACACTGTTCCCAGGGACCTTCCTTGGGCTTGCTGATACTCACCCTCTGAGGTCAGCAATGAGGATCTGCCCTCCGTTGCGCACATCAAAGATTTTGACAGACCTGTCTGAGGAGCAGGTGGCCAGGCGGGTGCCATAGTAATCCATCTGGGCATCATGCTGCAAAGGGAGGACAGCTCAGGAAGCCTGCAGGCTGGGCAGTGTGGAGGGTGAAGGCAAGTCACCAGAATCTAGTTGGGACCAGAACCCACTTGCAATAATATGATCTTGAAGAACCATCACTACTAGACAAGAAGCTGGCATGCTTAAGTCTCCTGTCTTTGCTGAATGGTGTCTTCCTGGACGGTGGACCTTGATGAAGTCCACCATACCTAGCTGGCTTGACAGACCCTTTATATCCTTCAAGGAAGGTCCTTCCCCACCACTGTCTGGGGTGCAGGAGATGAGATGCAGTTGTCCTTTCCCACTGTCCTGAGGCTCTGAGGACTACTGAGGAAGGTATCTTGAGGTCTAGCTCAGCCCCTAATGCTTGTGCACAGGCTGCAGACTGCCTGCAGGCCCTGATCAGTGAGTGATCTGTGATGTATCTCTAACCCGAACTCAAGAGTTCCATTCAGATGTTTGAGTTCCTTCCTCCTCCCCTGACCCCCAAGCCTTTGTTCCTGGGTTCTCATTAGACCTTTTTGCTAGTAAAGTGCCCAGTATGGCAGACTTCCCACCCACGGGAAACAATGCCTTAGGTGTTACTGGTTCCACATTTAAGAGCTGAATGCCGGGGCTGGGGAGATAGCTCAACGGTCTAAGTGTCTACCTGGCAAGCTCAAGGACCCGGGTTTGCTCCCTGGTATTGTATGCTGTGCCAGCCACTGAAACTGGGCATGGGGGCGCATGCCTGTAATCCTGGTGCCGGGGGGGCTGACACAGGAGGATCACTACGAGTCTGAGCTGCATAGTGAGACCATGTATCAAATAAATAAATAAAAGATTAAAAAAAAAAAACTTTTTTAAAGACCTGAATGCCTTGATGTTGACTGAATTCCAAAGCATGGGTTGGCACCTGTCCAGAGTTGCCTGTCCATCTTGGCGACAGTTCCACAGATGTACTAGGCCTACCACCCTATAATTTTGCCCCTCCTGCTTGCTGGCTCTGCCTACAACAAAAGATGCCACTTTCCTAGCTCGCTCATCATGGAAATTTCAGGAATGATTATCATTCCTGGGCTCACCAGAGGCAAATACTACCTTTCAAAGGAAGCATTCATTGTATCTGCCTCCATGTTCCTTTCTTACTCCCACCTAAGGAAATTTCTTTGGCAGAACCAGGGATTGAACTCAGGCCATTGTGCTTCCCAAGGAAAATGTTTTGATTCTTCCTTAGAAGTTAGCCCCCCAACTGTGTCAGGCCTTGCTTTCTTGGAAGCAAGCAGAGTAGGGGACTTCCCAAGGTCTTCTGCATACTGTATCACACTGTGGGAAGAAATAGGGCTGAGTATCCTAGAGATTTAAATCCTGTCTCTGTGGTTTATCTGCTGGACAACCTTTGAAAACTTTTAGTTTTGCTATTTTTTTTTTAAAATGTATTTGGTACAGGATCTGCAGGGTCTACAGGGCCTCACTATGTAGAGTGGACTTGTAGTGATTCTCCTGTTTTCAGCCTCCCAAGAGCTGGGATTACAGGTGCGCACGCACTACCATGCCCAATCTCAATCGCCATCTCAGCATACCCCGGGGGTGGAGCCGGCACGGCACGCCAGGGATCGAACTCTGGCCATTGCGCTCTGCCTAAGCAGGTGCTTTAGTCCACTGAGCTATCTGGCCAGCCCATCATACCCAGAAAGCATGCAAATATTTCTAATTATCATTTTTCCTTACCTGTTTGTTAAATCAAACCCATGCGGATAGATGGTATATTATTTTTTCCATGACGAAATTGATGTTCACAAAGGGAAGACACTGTCTAGTCTCAGAATGAACCTTTTTGTTCATGGTGCAGCATCAGCTCTAAGAAGCCTTGTCATTTTACATAAACTGTTCATGGCAGAAACCAAGCCACACAGGCAACTCTGATACCAGGCAACTTCAAAACCTAAAAGCAACTGCTGGTGCACAAGGCATAACAGTAGGAACCCCAGCATGAAATGCTGCAGGCCAACTGACCTGGGCATTGCTCAAAGGCTGCCCTGCCTTCAGGGCTCCACACAAGCAGTCTGTTTTTCTTGGTGGAGACTTTACCCTCCGGACTTTCTCCTGTGGGCCCCAACTTCCTACATCAAGCCTGTATTTGGCCCTCAAGAAACACCTGACAAAACGATTTGTGGTTCAGGACCTTGTCTGGCTGTGGGGGTCCCACCTGGTTCTCCCTTGGGCTTTCAGCACAGCTGTTCTTTGTATTGGGCTAATCACCTATGGTCTCACAGTTGACACCTTCCAATGGAGCCAAGAAATGACAAGAGGAGGAAGACAGGTAGGAAGAAGACCGTCAAACTTCTGCACTGCCAGCCACAGCAGGTGACAGTGTTACAAAACAATTTTTAGGTTGCTGTCGGCAGAATGACCAGACTGTCATAGCGTTGCCAACTCATAAAACACTGCTGGGAGAATGACCTCATCCTTGATGTTATGGTCTGACCGGCAACTACTGCCATACCAGATTCAAGAACGATCAGCAGAAAGAAAATGATCAATGAGAAGCCCAAACTCTCATAGACATGCCCATGTCCAAAGCCTTGAAGAACGTAAATGAATACTTACAATCATGTCCTCATGGGAGGTGTCCACAGTGTTAATTACAGATACCTACAACCAAAGACACTGCAGTAAGATGACAGAATACAATTATCCCATTATATCTATTAACTTTTTTTTTTTTTTTTTTTTGTGGAACTGGGGATTGAACTCAGGCCCTCACACTTGCCAGGGAAGCGCTTATTCCATTGAGCCATCTCCCCGGCCCCCTTAACTACTTCTAAAGGTCAATTCTTTAATATGGTTTACATGCACTACATGAGCTGAGAGGTGTGGTGGTGGATACTAACTGGGCCTTAGACCAGAAGAAAGAATTAGCCAGATGGCTGAAGGGGAATGCACCAAGGCTCAAGGCCTACCTGTACACTACAAGCAGACAGAGGAACAGCAGTAAAGACAAGTTTGACAGCATATGATATAAATGGGGGCGGTGAGTAAAAGCAAGCAGCTCTGGCCACTCACAAAGGTGAGGTAGGACCTGGAGGGAGCCAGAGATGATGTGCCCTTTCTGGATGGCAGACCTCTATATCCCAGGCAGTTTCTGAATTATATACGGGGTTACCTAAGCCTAATGCAAGTTTCTCCTGAAACTCCACAGCCTACCTCTTGCAATAGACTCTAGATCAGTGATGGCAAACCTTTAAGAGCTGTCAATGATAATAAACAGCTGGCTGTGGTATGCATGCCACAGGGTTAGCCATCACTGCTTTAGATGGTTGCCTAGTGGGATCCAGGGTTGAGTAATTTGTAGGGCTTGAAAACAGCTGTCTTTATCCTTGACCTCTTCTTTCTCAGTTTGCTCAGTGGGGATGGAACCCGGGGCCTCATGCATGCTAGGCAAGTGCTCTATTGTCAAGTTACATACCTAGCCTTTTTATTTAGTTATTCAGATTTACATTAATCTTTATTCCCTTTTCAATACTAAAAATATACTCATGATAACCTTTATGGTATGAAAAACCAAAATTCCCCCAGAATCCTACTCTTGGAGATAACTATTTCTCTCTGTGATTAAGTATTCTTCCAGATTTTTAAAAAAATGTAGTAGTAGGGCTTCTACTGTATGTGTGTGTGTGTGTGTATACTATTCTGTACTTCTGTAAGTTTTTAAATAGCTTTAACAAATCATTCAACTGACTGGTTCCTCCTGCCTCAGACTCCCAGAGTACTAAGATTACATTTCTTACAACCTCTCTCTACCCCCATCTCGTATTTTCCCACACAAACCCTGCAGTATAAAATCCACTTGACTTTTCAGAAACATGATCCCAGGTACATAACGAGTGCACATGAGTTCTCATTCAGCAAATTTTAGACTTTGTAATAAGTGAGCCCCCAAGGTCTGCAAAGGCAAGAAAGGAAGAAGTGTCTCCTCAACTTGGCCAGGTTACATTAATGCCTTCGCATGCTGGGAGGTGCCAAAGACAAAGCTAATAACAGCCACCTGACAAACTAAGGCTTGGAAGCAATAGCTTCTCTAAGTCTCTGAGTTCATCAGGTTAGTTTTTGTTTTTGGTGCCAGAATCGAACTCAAGGCCTTGGGTTTGGCAGGCAGGCGCTGTGCTGATGAGCTACCCCCTCCCCCTAGCCTATTAGGTCATAGCTAAACAGCAAGCAACAGCACTCAAAACACCTCCTCAGGATCTCATGAGTTACAAATTAGTTAAAACTAGCTGATTATAGAGAATAGTGTTCCCAAGTCTGTTAAGCAGCTGAATTAAAGGCCCAACGTGGAAGGCAATTTAACACCTCGCTGCCTAAAGAGTAAGAAGTAAGCCTGGGTTCTGACTTCTAAGTTCACGCAGTTCTTCTCAAACTCGCGGTGAGGCATCTCCATTTCTTAGGAGCATACATTTACTAGGCTGTGTCAAGCCAGTCTTGAGGCCTTTATCCATTAGTTCTCATTTACTTCATCAGTGTGGAGCGAACATATGCTGCAGTTAACACCGAAATGGGAAAAAGCGGGACCCCGGCATCAAAATCATTCAGCTTGTTCTTCCGTCAGCTTTCTAAAGTCGCCGTCATCTCTGGGAACTCCGGACCATTTATGCTGGGAGGTAGGCGGTGGAACGGAATGGAGAAGAACGCTCGGATCTCAGCTTTCCACTAGCAGAGGCTGAGATCACAGACATGCTTCGAACTTGCTCCGGGCTCGGTACATACAACTCCTAGGGAGTCCTGGCGTTGTGTCGCCGAAGGAGACAAGGACGGGAGAGGGACACACAGTGGGCCTGGCAGCGGCGGCCATAGTCCCGGAGGCTCAGCACTGGCCTCACCCCGGCTAACCGCTCTGAAAGGTCGCAGGATAGGGGCAGAGCACCCCAAACTCGACGCGATCGAGCGGTACTGAATGACCCCAGCCCCAAGCGCTTGAAGCCCGCTCGGCATCCCAGCCCCAACATTCACCATAGCTGAAGCTGCGGCGACTTCAGGTCTCAGACGTGGGACGTGGCAGCTTTCGGCGGCGCCTCGGTCGGGCTCACTTCCGGCGCCGGGTTGGCGCGCCGTCTGGCCATCACTCAGGAGCCTCCGGGCTGCAACACGCTCGGCTCGCACTAAGGTTCCGGGTCTCTCAGGGTCCTTGCGTGGCTCCGCCCCACCTTGCTTCTCAAGATCAGAGGGAGGGGATCTGGTTACCGTGGAGACCCTGGCCGGTGGCTTTAGGGTCGTGAAACTCTGGTGGGACCTCTATCCAGGCCAATACTTTCCTCTTCCTGGATTAATGATAGCACGTCGCGTTTCCAGGCGGATGTGGAGGGTGAAGTCTGTAGAGTGATGGCGGGCGTGTTGTGGGGAACAAGTTAGGGCTTCCTTCTGGTTAGTCAGGTGTCATCCTTCCCACCCTCCCTAACACAGGCTGTGAAGACTTAAGAGACTGCAGCTGCCCCTTCCAAACAGGTCCTGGGGATACTGAAAGTTTGGCCTATCAGAGTCCCCTAGGCCACGAAGGTCTTAGACACCAACACCCTGGCCCCACCCCCCACCCGCGTGTTCCCATGGGAACGTGGTGGTGTCAGAAAGAAGGCCCAGCCTTCCTCCCCACCGCAGCTTTTGAAATTTCTCTTCCCCTGATCAATGGAGAAATACTGCAAGATGTGAGCGTGTGTGTGTGTGTGTGTGTGTGTGTGTGTGTGTGTGTGTGGAGGCTTAGGGTGGAGGGGCGGGCCTGTTCTTCCGGAACATCCCTGGCCTTGAATCTGTAGTGGCACCCAAGCCTCTGGTTGATAGGGCCCAGTAGCTTCGCTCTGAGCTTCATTTCCTCTAGTGGAAAATGGGGACAAGGGCATATTAGATATATTTATTTATTTATTATTTGTGTGTGTATGTGTGTGTGTGTGTGTGGCCAGCTCAGCCCACCGGGGGCGGGGCTGGCTGGCATGTGGTGCTGCGGGATTGAACCGCGGTCCCTGTGCTTTGCTAAGCTTGTTCTAAGTAGGTGCTTTAGACCACTGAGCCATCTCACCAGCCCCGCATATTAGATATAAATGTCATGCAGAAGGCATAGTTGCTCCTAAAGACATTTCCTGGTGTAAATATTGAAGAACATGAAGATTTGGGGCTAGCAATGAGCTGAATTAACTCATTCAGATATCTGTGAGTGGGGCTGAACAACAGTGATATGGAGATCGAGTGCCAACGCTGGCGCCGAGTTGGGGACGTGTCAGTACTGCATGTACCTGCTTGTGTGGGCACACTGTTATTTTGTGGGAGACAGACTGTGTATATCATGCCTGGACTGCTTGTAACCAGAAGTGTTTCAAATATCAGTTTAAAATTTTAAAAAAACCATTTATTTATTTGTCTATTTGGTACAGGGTTTCACTGCACAGCTCGGACTCATCGTGATCCTCCTGTCTCAGCCTCCCCAGGGCTGGTATTACAGGTGTGTGCCACCATGCCTGGTTTCATTGGCTGGTGCACCGCAAGGTTGGCACAGCATGCAGTACCAGGGATTGAACCCAGGTTCTTGTGTTTGGCAGGCAGGCACTTAGGCTGCCAAGCTATCTCCCCAGCCCCTCCCCCAATTTTTTGAATATTTTCATATCCATAATGAGATTGTCTTGGGGGATAGGACCCAATTTTGAACACAAAATTCATTTATTTTTGTCTTTTTTTTTGAGATAGGGTTTTGCTGTGGAGTTTAGGCTGGCCTTGAACTCACTTTGTATCCCAGGCTGGCCTCAAATTTACAGTGATCCTCCTGCCTCAGCTCCAGAGTGCTGCAATTATAGGAGTGTGCCTCCACACCCAGCCTTATATTTTATTTCTTATCCATATAGGCTGGAGGTAATTTATACGATATTTTTTAATAATTTGTGTGCTAAACAAACTTCTACAGGGTGGAATTTTCCACCTGTGGCATCCTATTAGCCCTTAAACATTTCAGATATTTGGGATGTGGTACCTCCTTTGGAAGTTGATATGGGAGCAACTGAACCTTGAACACGAAACTGGAATTTGGATGGGCCAATGTTTGATCTGCAAATCAGTTCAACTTGAAAAGAGCTGCAGTTGTGTGTGCATGACTCTTTTTTTCCCTTTAGAATTACTTCATTAAATCATAAATGTACAACAGCTTCTTAACTCTACACACACACTTAAATTTTTTAAAGGAAAAACATTATGTCTTATTACACCATGATCCTGGCTAATAGCTGTGTGTGCATAACTCTCAACATCTGAACCAACACTGGGTAGTGTTTCTTGGCCTGTGCATGTCATTTTTCTTTGCTAATTGACTCCTAGTGTGTCCAGCTCCCCTTCACCTGCTGGGATGCATCTCTATCTTATATCTGTATTTCCTGTCTGGCTAACCCTAGATCTCAACTCAGGCCATTCTTATCTTTCGTCATTGTGCCCTCTGCCTCCTGGGCCCTTTGTCCCTGGCTGTCCTTCCTTCACCCCTGAGGCCCTGCTGCCCAAATCTTCCTCTGTGAGATGAGCAGCTCTTCCCGATGGGTTAACAGCTCCTGGTAGGCTAAACTCACATGGTGGGCACTCAAAAGGTGACCTGGGCAAGGGGAGCAAAGTGACTTTCCCAATGAGGGACTCAATTTCCCTGAATTCACATCCATGGGTTGGGGGCCCAGCTGTCCTGCAGAGAAAGGCTTTGTGATGGGTGCCATGTCTGCATTTCCACGTGTGCATTTATTGTTATTGCTCAGTATAGTGTTGAAAAGGCAGACAAATCCCATTAGTTACAAAGAGCACAAGCCAGAGATACAGAGAAATAAAGAGTGTACAATAAGAGCACAGTCACTTCCCAGCCCCGATTGTCCCGGAGCCCCCGGAGCCCTCAGAGCCCGGGCAGCTTGTGGAAGCTGGAGGTGGCACCATTCTTTTGATACTCTGTTATAAAAGATGTACACGCAAGAGTTAGCAAAGTGTGGTGTCCCTCAAGAGGAAAGGCCCGGGGCAGGGAGCACCACAGATGTTACAAAACAGATGGGCAGGCTGAAGAGGTGACCCAGGGCAGCCTCTGATCTCCTGATATTAGAGTGGATGAGGGCAGCTGCCCCGGGCTTGGAATTCTCCTCACCCCCTAGGTGGGTTGGATCTGTACATTAAAATTAGGAAAGCTTGATTTTAAATTTGTAGAAGACCCAGGGATTGTTATCGTTTGACTGTGACCTTGGCTGCAAGCCTCCTAGCAGCTCTCCCTCCTGGCCAGATCCTCTAAGGGGGGGGGCTGAGGCGCCACAGCAGGAGATTTGGTGGGAGACAGGTCAAGAGTGGCATCTGATTGGCTTCCTACGGGCAAAACAGGGGGAAAGGGGAGTGGCGGTGCTGAGAACATCCTGACGAGATTTCTTCCTAGGTGCTGGAGCTCCAAATTCAGAGCAATACCCCCCCAAAATATTCCAACAACAAAATGGCTAAAACCAGTTCAGGAAAGGGAGACAGGAATATACACATCTGTATGGTAGACAGACAGCTGGGCTCCATCCTCTCTCCTAACCAGGGCCATAGCTCTGGGTCTAGGAGAGTCCGCTTTCTGCATCTGGACCAGGGCCAGATGGAGGGCCCACCCCCTGCAAACCATATAGTGCCTTTGATTCACAGAGAAGGGTTCTGGGTGCTTAGTGGCTTTCCCTGACCTCTCCTGGGCTGAGGGGACAGGTGAAAGGAACACTGGGCTACCCTCAACTCAGGAAGTCCTTTTTTCTTCTGGACAGGACACATTGTATTTAGCGGCTCTATGAGGACAATAATTACAGTGAGGGGAAAAGAAATATATATGGTGACAGGGCTCAGCATTAGGGCTAGAGGAGGGCTGGGGACAGGGGATCTGGCAAGATTTTACTATTTCCTTGGAAGAACGGATGTGAGGAAATAACCAGGAATTTTGTAAAAAGAAAGCAAAGGACTCGCCATACCACAAAATAAAACATTGCCAAGTGACAATAATTTAAACTGTGTGGCTAGTGCCAGAGGAGGCACTCAGATAAACGAACAGAAGTTCTGGAGCCCAAATCTATGTACAGTTTCAGCAAGTGGTTAAGGTGGCATTTTAGCAGGACTAGGGAAGAAAATGGCTCTTCATTAAGGGGAGGGACCAGGATAAGACAGGCTTAGAGTCCCAGCTCTTTCAGAGCCACCTTCATAGGCTTGGTCTCAGGGACAGAGTGGTCTCACTCCTGCCAGTTCCATGTTGGCTAGGACAAGCACTTGGGGAACCTGTAGGCTGCTCCAAAAATAGGGGAGCTGTCTGCACCTTGGGGTGCCTGCCCCACCACTTTGGAGGTAGGTGACTCGGGAGCATCTGAGTCACTGAGGAGATTCCCTGCTTGTCCCTTATCAATAGAGGATGGAATATAAGTTGGTGAGCTCGGATCTCAGAGTGAGGGTGGACACCTGCTCTGGAGTTCTGGTGCAAAGACAGGAAAGAAGCTCGGGGGACACCGTGGTCCCCATGCAAGGGTGTACACGGCAGAGGAGATATTCACTAGAACATCAGACATCCACTAATTTTTTGGGGCTTCTTTCTCTTTCTTTCTTTCTTTCTTTCTTTCTTTCTTTCTTTCTTTCTTTCTTTCTTTCTTTTTGTAAAACCACAGACATTTCAGAACCACACTGAGGAGGCAGAAGAATCAGCAATCGAAAGCATAACCATTGCATAGTATTAAATGAACAGAGATGGTGAGTTCTTTATTTACAATTGTTGTCTAGATAAAAAAATTCATAAAAACAGATGAATGGTCATAAATTATTGACCCCCTAGTGGGGTGAGTTGCCAAACGTACCCCATGCTGCTAGATATAGGACGCAGAGTGCAAGCTTTGTGTACTACAGTGAGTTTTGACAAACCATCCATTTCCTGTGTGCGTGCGTGTGTGGATGTGTGTGAACATATGAGTGAGGGGGCACATGTGTGATCATCCTTCCTGACTCGAAGAGACGGATGTGTGTGTCAGGCATTCTTGGTGCTTTCAGGGCTCCCTGCACACTGCTTGGGGATGCCTCCGCAGCACAGGGAGCCTGGCGTGGAATCCGACGGTCTGGAGTGAGGTCACGGATGCATGGTCAAACAGAGAAAGGGAAGATGAAAAAAATGAGAAGGGAAATTCCAAAAAACCACGGCGCTGCAAGCTTTCCAGGCTGCACATCCATCCGTCCTTGGAGGAGTGCGGCAGGCAGGCGTTGGTGGTGTTTGTACCAGAATCTGTGAGGGCTGGTAATGCAGTGTGGCTGGGGATGCAGTGTCCTCCGATGGATACATTCAGAGAGAGTTCTTCACAACATTCAGGCGGTGCTCTCTTGCACAGAAGGTCCTCCTTACAGAGAGGTTATGCCGGGTGGGATTGGCTGACTTTGAACCCCAAACCTCTCAGGTTTTCCATAGCTGTTAGACGTAGGCCTCCCAGCTGACTATGGCTCTGTTCCCAAGTGGCTCTCATCTTGTTAGTGGAAGAGTTCTCTGGGCCTGGAGGAGGGCGGAGGCAGGCTGACACTGAGCAGTCACGGGGAGGGTCAGCATGAGGAATGGATTTTGCAAGCCAGGTGAAAGTGTTTGGTTTTCTTTGAAGCATGGGACATCATCATCAATCATGGTATTCAAAATGTCTTTTGCACTGTACAAGTTTATGGAAAAAGATCATATGCCGAAAAATCTCAAAGCAAACTTTGTATTAAATACAAAAGTTCTTTTATGAAAAAAGCTGAGACCCACAAAGTGCTTAGCAGTTTAGAGGCCGACAGACAATTCAATGAGCTCTTATTAAGTGGGATTACTAGTGCTGTTATTGTCTTGGGGAAAATAACTGCCTTTCTCACCTGTGACACGGAAGGGTTCAGAATGGCTTTCTGTCTGGGGACGCAAGACTTGCTGTTAAAAGGCTACAGTATATGTTGTGACTACAGGAAGACAATTTGGTTTAAAAAATCACACTGAATCCATCTCAATATATACATCATAAGGTTCATTCGGATCGAAATAGTGCAGAGAAAAAGGCTATTCTTTTTCAAAAATAAAAATAAAAGCAGCAAGCTATACCAAGCTTCATCTGATATGCCAACAACTCCTATGCCACCCTTTATAAAGAAATAAACCTTTAATTTACTAACTAAAAAACAAAATCAACACAATACCATTTGTAAAATTTTATCACTGCCTCACCCTCTCTACAGACAGTGCCAAAGTCAACCTATTTTGGAAATGCTCCTGGTAAACTCCAGAGAGTTTCATCGAGAGAAAGCCTTTGCCTAGCACCTTGCAGACTCTGACACCCATGGGCTGAGCTGGGCACTTGCGTTGCAAATGCAGGACCTTCTCTCCTGCTCTCCCTTTGTCTACGGAGCGTGTTGGTAAACCCTGCGGGATGGATCCTCAGTAGCACTGGCTTTGGCCTGAGCCGTCCACAGTAGTAATGTGATCGAAACGGAAACAGCAGGCAAAAATAAGAGCATGGCTATTGTAAAACATCAAGGATGCAATCCGGGGAGGTGTCTGCGGGGCCAAGCTGTTTTCGTAGCATCTCAGCCACCAGTGTTCTTGGACCATACAAATAGCCAAAGACATTATCTACAGGTTTGTAAACAAATTACATTCTTCTCTTTAGGACATAAATAAGTTAAAATAGAGCAATTTAAGCAGAAACAAGGCAACATGCCGGCAAAGAGACTTTATATATCCATGTATATATATATATTTTATATATATATGTATATATATATATATAATCTCTACCTATCTATATGGACGTATACAGTCCTGGAGAAGTATACGTTGATATAGATATAAAGAAATGGATATAACCTTGTGTCTATGAGTTCTTCAGTTCCATTGGTGCAAATCTATTAGGCGAATTAAACTCTGCAATTTCAAAAAGTTATTAAATTAATCTATACAACTGAGACCATGCTGTGCAAGCATTTCAAAAACTCACAGACCAGTGGATTAGATAAATAGTCTCAGAAAAGAGTCTGTTTGAAGTTCCCGCCTAAGAAAACAAACAAACAAACAAAAAAACCCTCCCAGCCCCCCAAACACCCAATGAGGGGAGGATCGAAAGTGTCCAGTACATTCATGCGGGGACGTGGTGGCCGGCGGTGCATGGCTGGTCCGTGTCTGGGTGAGAGCCAGGAAGGGATTGTTTGGGAACCCTTCTCTCGCTCTCAGTGCTCCCAGGGGAAGTCCGCCCCTTGCCTTGAAGTGAAAAAGAGTTCAAACAGCATCGCAGCCAGGGAGAGGGTCTGTGGGCGGCAACGGCGGTTTCTCTCCAGTGTTTGGTTTCCTTGTTGCTCCTGCTGCGTGGAGAGCCGGGGCTGGAGGGTGCCCAGGAGACAGGTGGGAGTGGGTCTGTGGGGGTGGCCAGCAGGTGGGCGACAGGTCCTCAGCTAAAGCGACGTCTCCAGGCTGTGGATGGGGCTCCCTGGACTTGAAGAGGTAGCTGATTTGCTCGTGTCGGTCGTCAGGTTGATCCCACTGTCGATGGCGCTGTTGTTCTTATTGAGTGATGACGGCGGGCTCGAGTTCTGCTTGAGCGCGGCATCTTCTTCCAGGTCCGTGTCATCGATGAGAGGGATGTGGGGCTGTGAATCTTCGATCCGGAATTCAGGATGAGCCATGAAGTTATGGATGGAGGTTCTAGACTCAGGCTTTTCTAACCCTTCATAGAGAGAGCTACGGAAGGCCTTCACGACGCGGATCTGCAAGGGAAGCACAGGGTCAGGGCGTGGGGCGGGTTGCAGCCGGAGCAGAGCAGAGGGCGCAGCTCGAGGGCTCGGCCGGAGTCCACGTCGCTGTTACGACGGGGAGAATGGCAAGGGCTCAGGTTGTGTGAATCCATGAGTTGTTTTTATTAAATGGCTTTGGTTTTGGTCAGAACTACAGTAGGAAGAAGGGCAGGAAGGGTCACCGAGCACTGTCAGAGATGCTGGGGCCCTGCAGCGAGGGGAAGCAGAGTCCACTCCAGCGGGTACCTCGACCTAGGAAGAGACTGAGTCTTGGTAACCTCCCGGCAGAGCCCGACCATGCAGCAGGGAGTGGGGCCGAGGAGAGGCTATTTTTTTTTTTTTTTAATGAACATTAAAAAAACAAAAAACAAAAACAACAAAACAACCCACACACAGTTAAGAAACCAAACTACATGGAACAGGTTATGTGTCACACAGAGAAGGAACAGGAAGGAGCGACAGGATGTTATAATGAGAAAAGACACACAGAGGCCAGACGAAGAACAGGACATCAAACCAAGGCAGCGAAGCGACCAAAGCCAACTCAGGGCTTTCTGAGGTGCAGAGCAGGGGCAGCCAGGAAGCACAAGGAGCTGGGGCGTGGTGACAATCGGGAGAGAGGGCATGCCATGTCCGATCCGGGAACCACACAGCACACACAGATGGACACACACCACACTCGGCAGCCTGGACAATGTGAAAGGTAGTCATTTGTACCCAGCGTTTCTTTCCTTCATGCATGTGGGAGGTAAACACTCGAGTATAGACTCCAAGCCCTGGCCCGTTATTGCAGCTTGCTTAGGGGTCCCTTATTTCCTGGGGGTATTTTGTTTATTTCTTCATTTTGTGCTTTGAGAAAACACAAAACTAAAAAAATGAGGCCAGAATCATATGGCCAAACCCAGCCCCCGGGGCGGGAGGTTCTGGGAGGGGGCGGGGTGAATGTGGAACCGAGCTACAGGAGAGCAAGGTGCTTTCCCTTCCTCTGCGAACCCGGCTTCTGGGCCTCAGTCTTCTCAGCCCTAGAACAGACGGAGGCTGGACTGGGGGTCTTCAGCACTAGCTGACAGCGTCCTGGGCAGGGGAGCAGGAAGCCCCCAGCCAGGTCCTGGCCCTGCCACTTCTCGTGCCTCTCCACTCTATTCTGTCCTGCATACAGGGTGTGGAGTGGCAGGACCCTCAGCTGGAAGACAGGTGTCCCTTCTCTGGGTCTAGGGACTGGGCCTATCATTTCAAAGATCTGATAGGATTGGGGACAAAAAAGTGCCGCTACCTCTCTTCCCAGGACTGACTCAGAGTGGAACAAGAGAAGGAGAAAACAGGCAACCCCCTGAAGGTGGAGCCTTGGGCTGCTGCCTTGCCTGCTAGGGACAGAGCCTTTGCAGGAGACCTGAATTCTGGATATGAGCTTTAGCAAAACCCAGGTTTGCTCTCCTTGTGCTGGCTGGGAGCCCCTTCTCCATGATGGCTCTCCTGCTAGTTCTCAGTGTCACAGCTGAGGTCCCGTTTTCCCCAAGGGGCAGGTGTCAGGCTCATGATTTCTCTTCTGCCCTCTAAGTCAGAGTATACAAAGAAAACTGTAACACTTCACAGTCTCCCTTCTTGGTCTCAGGCAAGACGGTGTGGTTTGGCCTCTTTCCTCAAGTTTTCCACCTTTGCTGTCAGCCATCACTTATTAGTGCTGATGTTTGCTTGTTTTCTAAAAAGCATCTCTTTCCCTTTGTCTGCTTATGTGCGGTGGGCTGGGAATCAGAGAACCCCACTTGCTGGAACTGTGCATTAAGTAAGAGGTAGTAGGTGCCAGGAAAGTGCTGGTAACCACTGCCTCAGAGCTGGTGCCCGGTGAAGGCTGCGTGGGCTGCCCTGAGGTCCTTGGCCTCTGGAGTCCCTACATGTGGCTCTGTAGAGTTTATTAATATTTTGATGTCCTGGTAAATGTGCCATGGCACTCTGAAATGAGACCAGAGCAAAAGAGGTGCCATAGGCTCAGCTTCTTATCTGCCAAAGGGAGCAGCAGCAAACACTATTGTCATCAGCAAGTGCTCAGTGTTTCTGAGGCTGCTTGCAGTCAGATGTGGCTGCGACACCTCACATGTGCATGGGGAAGGGGACGGTAGCAGGTCCCTGTCATGTGACTCACAATGTAGGGGGACAACACACAATGAGATGAGGCCCCTCTGCCCTTCCCCTGGGATGGAGACAACAGAAGGAATGCACTGCTCTGGACAGGACTGTGGGGACGAGACTTTCCGGGATGCCCGCCATGGCCCGCTCAAGTCTCCACTTCGGCTCTCTCTGCGGCTGAAATGGAAAAATATGGAAAGAAAAAAAATACTCTTCCATTTCCTCTCCTTGCCTACCTCGGAGATGGGACCCTGGGAGTGGAGGCCATGTCAGGGCATGAGGGCAAGGAAAGAAGACCCAGCAGGGCTTTGGGGCCTGGTTGCATTGGCACAAGGGCAGGGGCCTCGCGCACAGCTGAGGCTCTGAGGGGTGCACAGGGCCCGTGCTGAGATGGGCTCCACATACTCGAATGTTTACCCGGCTTCAAGGAAGCCAAGAGTCTGGGATTGATTCACATTCATTTCAGGCTCAAGATAAAGACTCACAACCTCTTTTAATTTCACTCTCTCTTGCTGAACTCTGTGTCCAGGGTTCTCTAGCCCTCTAGGGAAACAAACACAGGGAATATTCAGACAGTGGAGAGGTCTGGGCCCCCCAAAGCAAGCCATTTTCTCACCAACCCAAGGTCATGCTAAGTTAGCCACCAAAACACTAATGAAAGGCCCAGTTTTCTTTCCTTTTCCTGTCTTCTTTTTTCCTCCCATCAGTGTGAACTCCATGCCCTAGCAGTTCTAAGAACCAGGAGTCTGGGGGGGAGTTATGGCAGGGGTGTGCTATCTGTCGAGTGAACTGTGGTGTCCAGAATGGGGTCTGGGGCTGGCTTGGGGGTCCTGTGCTTGACTGAGTGCCTGTGAAGGAACGGGGCCTTTGCTGATGAAGACAGAGCCTGCCACAGACTTGCTGAGGGCGAAGACAGCTTGAGCTGAGCTGGGATCTCCTGGGAGACAAAGTATGGTGTCCTGGCCTTGGAAGAGACAGTGATCACCAGTGGGAGACACAGATGGCCTGGGGAATGCCACCAAAGAAACACCTTCCTGCCTGTTGGGTCCTGGAGCACTGAGTAGCAGCAGTGTAGAGTGGGAGGGAAGCTAGAAGCTGCAGACAGACTTCTGACAGATCCTGAGCAGTGACATCTTGGCCAAGTTTGGGTCTTTTTTTTTTTTTTTCCTTCAGTACTGGGGATTGAACTCAGGACCTTGCGCTTGCCAGGCAAGTGCTTATTCTACTGAGCCATCTCCCTGGCCCCTGGGTCTTTCTGTTAATGGACACAGTGGCACAACCTTCCCTCCTGCTTCAGAACTGTGGAGTGGGGACGAGTGAAGAGCACTGGGGGTGGCCACCTACTTACTGGGAGAGAACAGACTCCCTGTGAGTGGGGAGGTAGGGAAGAGCATGGGCATGCAGCAGATTCCCTCCTGAGCATGCTGGTTCTACCCTGCTGGGTGCCATGCTTCTGAGGGGCACCTGTCTGCCTGGCACCTGCACTTTCCAGTGGTGCTATGTGGGGATGCCACTGTGCTCGGGGACTGTGTTCACCTGTGTCGTGACCTACAAGTCAGTTCCCAACACATACTACCCTGTGATAGGCCTCAGTGGTTCCACTTGTCCTAGGGAACAGAGCCAGCAGGTATTTCTGCCTCATGTGACACACATGGCTGGCTTCCTGTGCTAAAGAATCCCCAGGAGGAAGATGCTGCTCAGAAGATGTGGCTCATTTCCCCTCCTACCTGGCTGGGCCCTGTCTTTACTTCCTGGTCAACTGCTTCACACCCCCCTGGGGTAAGAAAGAATTGGATTCCAGAGGGACCTTGCCCACTACCTAGTGTCTTCAGTCCTGGGAAGACAGAGGTGGTATTATAGAAACTGAACAGAGGACTAGGGGATATTTGCAAAGTGTTTACATTGAGACTGCACTGACCACAGGGCAGAGATCCCCTCTGGAAGCCAGTGCCCTTGGACAGGAGGATGGCCAGGCTTCAGAGCCCATGCCCAAGAAGGGATCTGAACTCTGAATTCTAAAGCAGAGGGTGGAAGTGGGAAATGTCTAGGAGAGCTGCAGGTGGGGCTGGGGCAAGGGAACGGTGTATAAACAGCCCTGTAGAGGCATTTAAGAGAATGAGGGGTCTCTGGCAGGGTCAGCTGTGAAACAGCTTCTGCTTAGAGTCCTTTGCAAGACTGTTCCAGAGTGAGGACATGGGTCACATGGGCTAAAGGAGATGGATATGGCTCGGAAGGAGATGAGTATAAATGGGCATTTCTCTGAAAGTGAAGAGCTGTTACAGGATTGGCCTCTTTGGTTTTACAAATGACCAAGAAGAAAAGGTGAGGATAAAGCTGTAAGGTAGGAAAGGCCAGCTCCTTCTTCTAGCCAATGTGAGCTATGATGAGGGTCAACTGCAGGAAGCTCTCCGAGGGTGTACTGGTGCCCCAGGAGGTCACACAAGGTCTATTATGACCAGCAACAAGAGCTACGACTCAAGAATGAGGCCAAACCAGAATGCAAAAAGAACTGAGCTCACACCCAGAAGCTAGTCTCCTGGTAGGCAGAGCTAGCTAGGGGGACTCAGGAGTCACTGACAGAGCGTCTCCATGCTAGAGCATTTGCTGATAGCACTTCAGGACAGGTGGTGGTGCGGGGCAAGGCCAGAGCTAGGCTGCCATGGGGACAGGGTGGAGGAGAAAGACAGGGTCGAGCCTCCTGCTAAGGCAGGGGTCGCTGGTCTGAAGGGAGAGGAAGATGGGACAAAATGTTTCTGCCCTGAGACAGCCTAGAAGTGATCTCATAGGGACAGTGCCCCATGGTACGGTAACTCAGACACCATGTGCACAAATACATCCCCCTTCATCTTCCCTCAGCTGGTCACCACATTGCTGATTCTGTGCTAATGAATGGACACTTAGGCATCCTTCCTGTATACTGGGCAGAACGACATCCACAGAAAGGTGACAGGCATGAGCACAGGCCATTAGCAGGCTCTGTGGCCTGTGCTTCCTGTCAGAGGGGTACAGGGGAGGAATCCTGTCTAGCATGCAGGTCATGCTCAGTGGCAGGGGACGAATGCGATAACTTTCCTAATGCAAGTAGAGACTCTGAAGTACCAGGGCCTAGAGTCTGTTTCTCCTCAAAGGTTGAAGATTGGTATGGATAAAAGACACAGGGAATCTACTCTTTTTTTTTTTTTTTAAGACAGACACTTGCTATGTAGTTCAGGCTGGCCTCAAACTCACAGTGATCCCGCTGTCCCAGCCTCCTGTACACTCAATATCTATTTGAGATCAGAATTAGGGGCCCCTTAGAAAGATAAAGCAGGAGGCAGATGGTAAGTAGAGACTCATTCTCTCCAGGGGCTGAGGTCCAGGGAAGGTCGAGACAAAGCTAGAAATAGGTGGGTCAGAAGTGGTGGTATGAGGGGGTGAGCTCCTTGGGAGAGAGAGGCAGGAGAGGTGGTCAGGCTGCTCCTAAGTTAAAGGGAGGTTGGATGCTGCAGGTAGACCAGAGCCTTCCAATATGGGGGAGCTTGACCTACCATTTTCCACTTATGGTCAGCTGGTGGGGTCAGGAGCCTTGTCCTTTCTGGGAAAGCACAGAACTCCTTGGTGTGCCACCCTCCGTTGGGGAGGTGGTATTTGTTCGGCAGTTGATTTGCAAGGGGAGAAGAGTACAGGGGTGCCCTGGACTATGGGTGGTGCCCTGGACTGTGGTCTCCTTGGCCTGGGACTCCTGACTGATTGTGACCTCTGCCCTTCAGGGACCTTTTGGCTTATCTGTCCCCCATGGCTGTGACCCCACTGCTAGTGGGTGCTTCCTGACCAGCTGAGAAACCCTGGTGATGTGACTCCCCTACAGCTGGGCCCTGCTGTGTCTGCGACCTGAGGGCTTCCACCCTTGACACAATAGCTCCATGCACAACTCTGGGTGACTGTGACCTGCAGGCCAACTCTGGCCCCTGCCACTGGGGCCAGGCTTTTCTTGAGAGTGTGAGAAATAGGTCCTGGAAATAGACTGGAACATTTTTCTCACTGAAATCCAGGCCCTCCCACCCAGTGGTGATGCCTGGACCCAGACCTTCTCGTCACTGGGGGAATGATGACACCCAGCTGATCCTGGCCTGCAGCGTGCCTGATACCCTGTGATGGGCCCTGACTTCCTCCCCACTGGGGACCTTCCCCGTGGGCTCTGGTCCTTGGGCCTCCTGGGCCTCACAGGGACCAGCTTCCCCCCAAGTCCTCTGGCACCCGGCCCCTGCCCGCTGGCCCGCCCGGGAGCTGGCGTTGGTGGCACCAGCAGAGCGGTAAGGAGTCACACTCACGCCCAGCTGCAGCAGGTGGAAGGCTGGTCGGAGAGGAAAGAGCATTGGACAACGACACGCGACTAGGGCTAGAGAGATTGGCTACGTCCTGGCTCTGGCTGGTGACCGAGGACTGTCTCCGCAGGGCGCCCTGAAAGGAGGCCCCGCTCTTGAAAGTATTGACTACTTCAATCTGCAACGGAGGAGAGAACGAGACAAGTTGCGAAAACAGACACGACAGCTACATGACTGACAGGCGCCACGTCACGAGAACAGCCGCAGCCACGGCGACGATGACAGTGCCACTTAAATTAAAATGAAAAATACCAGACACACTCCAAGGCTCTGAAAGCTATCTGTGCTCCCAGGGAGGACTTGGGGCTCTGCCTGCTCCCTCACGCTGGTGGCTCAGGGCCAGTGGGCTCGACTGGGGCGAGGCTGGGCATGGAGCCTCAGCAGTGTGGTCGGGCTCTCAGGTGGGAAGCCCTAGGCCCAAGTTCCAGCTAGGTGGCCATGGGTGGGTCCCCTTCTGAGTCCCATCTCTTGTCCTAGGGGCAGTCCCAGCCACCTGGCAGTGCTACCTGTCGGTGACAAGGCACCAGGCTGTATTTGTGCTCAGCAGGCTCATGCCAGGCCCCTCAGGAAGTTGCAGACCTTGCCTCCTCCTGAGAGCTGGAGGCCTGCAGGAGAGGTGGGGGCACCAGGGCTGTGGGCCCTCGCAGGAAGTGCAGGCTTCTGGGTTCTGGCTGGGCAGAAGAGCCCAGGCCTGTCTCTGATGTCACCACTCCCTATCCTGCCCTGGCCAATTTGGCAGGAGGGGTCATCCTGGTACCTGAGTGACTTCCACACAGGGGAGTCACAATCTCCTCTCAAGGCTGGTGAAGTCCAGTGAGAAGAGCTTTGGGATGGGGCTGCCCAGTGAAGCTGCTCACTACAGCGGTGGGAAACAGTAGTTGGCAGCTCTTTCCCAGAGTGCCCCAGGGGACCCAGAGTGCCCCAGGGGACCTCAGGTGTAAGTTCTCAGCTCTAGCGCCCCCTGCTGGTCCCTTTGGGCAGGGGGCTTCGCTTTCAGATTTCTTAGTCCCCTTCTGAGGCTGACGTCATGGTGCTCTGACAGCATTCTGGGCTGCAGCTCCTGCCCTGGACAGTGTGAGAGAGCTTAGGGTGCATGTCACAGACCCATGGCAGCCATACACACTGCTCTGGGAAGAAATCTGCTTGTGATTGGGACTCACTGTGCATCTGTGCTCCCCAGCATGTGTTCAGTGTGCACAAGTGTGTACACGTGTGCAAGGAGACACCAGATTTGCTCTGGTCTCCTCCAGCTCCTGGGGCAGTCTGGAGCCCCTTATGGGAGCCGAGGATGTGTGCGATAAAAGGAAGGAGGCTATAGGGTGACCCTGGCTTGCAGGCTCCGCCCAGCCTTGCCTCTCCCTCCTGGAGACCGCCCCTCATTCCCCTCCCCACCCTCTTCAGGGACCCTCCGCCAGCTGAGAAGGCATAGGGCATCTTCCCTATCAGGCTTCTCTGCTTCTTCAGCCGTCACAAGCGTGTGAGGGACGTGGTGTGCAAAGGGTTGGTGCGAGAGTGAGGGCCTCTGCCCGGTGGCCTCTGCCTACCGGTTGTCACCCAAGCCCCCCTGCCCCTCTAGGTGGTTATCTTGGGGTGGACAGGCTGACATGTGCCTCTGTGTCTGACCATCTGGCCTGGCTGGGCCCAGTCCTGGGAGCGTCCTGTACCTGTGTCTGGATGCGGTTCAGGCCTCGGAACCACAGGATCTGGCCACGGCGCAGCTCCCTCTCAGCGTGGTCAATTTCCTCCACATCCTCATTGAGCTCCTCCTCGGGGATCTCCTCCTTCTGCGTGAGCCGGCCCGCCTCCTTCAGGAACTTGAGCCTGCTTGTTGGGATGGTGGCGATGACCTGCAGGGGCCGGCATGGGGTCAGGCCACAGCTGTCCCCCTGGGTGGCTTCTTCCCTTTCTAGCCCCTCCTCCACTCCTTATTTCCCTACCACCCGTCTAGGCCCAGCTCACCTCACTCACTTCTCAACTCAAGCTCTCACAGGTTCTTGCCAATTTGCCTTCCCACAGTGTTGTATTCTTAGCCTTTTTATTTACTTTTTAAAATTTTGGTATGATTTTGCTGTTGCTCAGGCTGGGCTAAGACTTGCAATTCTGTCTCTCAGCCTCCCAGAGTGCTAGGATTACAGGTGTGCACTGTGCCTAGCAGTTAATTCACTCACTTATCCAGAGTCAGGGGGATGGAGCTGAACATCTGGGCCTTTGGGAGTTGCACAGATGTGACTTTGAATACTGTAGGCTGTAGTCGTAGTCATGTGACTTTGGCAGACCATTTGGCCTCTCTGTTTTTTTTTTTGTAAAGCTTGATGAGAGCTATGGAAGTTGTAGACAGAAAGCCACATGGTATGTCCAAGTTGCCACAGACAGCCTGGCCTATGGCTGGCCCTCAAGTCTCCTTGAGTCCTTCTGGGACCCCTGAATATGGGGAAGAAATATGGGGTATCCCATCCTGGATGGGAAAGGAAATGTGGGAAGGGGAAATGCCTTCATTTTTATCTTTCCCAGCAGGCTTGTCCATGGGGCTGAGGCCCGGGAGGCAGGCCTAGTAGGGGAAACTGAGGCAGTAGAAGACAGGTGAGCTGGACTCAACACTTAGCTTTTGGGGGCTCCTGGGATTCTGGGTCAGCTTCACACACGGGCATCAGCCTTTGTCTCCCGAATCTGCTCTACGCTCTGAGCTCACTTGGGTGAGGCTCTGGGTGCTGACAGTGGCCTAACTCTGGGGGTACAGAAAGTGGGGTGCTGAGTCCTGCGGGTCAGCACAGCAACGAAGCTTGGGGGATATTCTTGTGGATGAAACATAACCTTCCTCTCCATCCAGTTAATTCTGCCCCTGCAGCTTCTTATTGCAGCCCAGAGATGGCTGAGGTGGGAACAGTGTCTCAGGCCCTGGTGGCCCCAGGGTCTGGACAGATGGGCACCCTGGGGACAAAGCCCTTTTGGCTCAGGATTGGCTCTAGACACTGCTCCTAAGCACGGTGTCCTGGGAAGGCGACTGAGCTGAAAGCAGTCCTGACTGTGAGCTACACAAACATACCTGTCAAAGGCAGGGAAGGGCTTGGTGGAATATCTCCTGGAATATGTTACAGCTGGAGAGGCCACAGAGAGCATCCCCAAAGCCAGGGGTCCCTGGCATCCTTTTGAATGGGCCATAGCCACTGAGCTGAGGCATGGCAGGACTGTCCCTCTTGCATTCCCTCTGTCCCCTGAAGGCCATCACAGGCCATCAGCACAGGACACTGCCAACTCATCTCCCTTTCTTTTCTTCCTCTTCTTTTTTTTTTTGGTTCCAGGGATTGGACTCAGGACCTTGTATCTGCCAGTCAGCCACTTATGCCACTGAGCTATATCCCTGACCCTCCCTTTCTAACAAGCTAGCTTTAGGCTTTGAGGCTCGGCTCATTAGCATTTAGTGAGCATTTAATATCATGCTCCTTACATTAATAGTTTTGTTAGCTTCTACTTATAGCAAGTGACTGATTTGCCAGTCATATTAGCAACATAGTGTTGCCTTTTGAGCTAATTTTAAGTTGATGAAAAAGTAACGGGAGCAGGGAGTAATACACAGATGAAAAAGAATAATCCCAGTGGTGATGCTCAGAATCCTGGGTTTGTGGGCCCGAGATGGCCAGCTTTGCTCGATGCTCAGAAATGGCAGGCCCTGCTGCAGGGGGCTCCTGGGACCCAGCCGCTCTTTCCATTTCTTGCCCGGAGGTGAGGCACCCCCTCACCCTGCCTGAACTTACCTGGCCCCAGACCAGCTCTCCCAACCCGATGAATATGCACCACATCCACTGGTCCAGCTGCAGTGGGGAGCAGCTGAACGGCTTCCCTCCAAACTGCACGATCACTATCTGGAGGTCATGGGCAGAGAGAGACAGGGACAGGTGTCAGGGGCTGCCCTGGCATTGCTCTGCTGAGCCTGGGCTGGGTCGGGGAGTCCTGGCTACCTGGATGGTGAAGGTGCCCAACACGATGGTGCAGAAGATGGGGTTTCGGAAGATGCCGTCAAAGACATTGCGTTCACCATGGATCTTGCGGGCATTGATCTCGTTGAAAAGCTGCATCATGACGAAGGTGTTGAAGATGATGGTGTAGTGCTCAGAGGGCGGTGAGTGTAGTGGCGCGTTCCTCCCACTATCGATCTGGAACATCTTCTCGCCTGCCAAGCCAGAGGGCGGGGCTGGGCTGAGGTGGGGGCGGGTCAGGCAGGTGAGCCATGCCCCAACTTGGAGGCCATTGAGGGGTGCAGGGTTAACAGACCCCTTTCTCCTCTAGGTGGCAAAGACCTTGGGGAACAGTCTTCCACCTTTTCTGTGGGGATCTGAGAAATGTTGAATGCCAGCTGTGTTACCAGGTGACATTGCTTATAAAGATTTGCCGGTGCATGGTGCGCATGCCTGTAATCCCAGCTACTCTGGAGGCTGAGGCAGGAGAGTTGCAAGTTTGAGGCCAGCCAGCAGTTTAGCGAGTCCCTGTCTCAAAATAAAAAAAATAAAAAGGGCTGGGGATGGAACTCAGTGCTTCCTGGATTCATTCCCTAGCACTGTGAGGGGGAAAAAAAGTGACCCCAGACTGGCAAACACACCTGATTTGGAAGACAGGAATGCTCACAAGAGACCACGATGGTTTGCAAAATTGTCCCCAGAGGTCTCTGTGTCACAGGCCTGGTCCCCAGCCTGCAGTGCTGCCTGGAGGTGGTGGAGCTGGTTGGGAATTCTTAGGTTCTCAAAAGAGGGGCCCTTGAAGGAGACGGTGGAACCCCAGCCCTCCCCTCTGCTTCACTTCCAGCCCTGAGAGTAGGTATGGAAAACTGAGTTAAAATCAAGCTCCTCTTTTTAAGTTAATTATCTCAGATGTTATTATGATGGAAGTGTGGCCAGGAGAACTGAAGACCCAGTCTCAAAGGAATCCAGAGAAAGGGGCAGGACTCTGGAGGGTGAGGCTGATGGAGGGGGTCCTAGCAGGAGAAGGGCAGCTGCTACCTCCAGAGCCTGGGCTCTGGGGTGCAGAAGCCAGCATGGACGCAACCTTGTGGTGTACACTAGGGGCTAGGGGCTGTCATTGGCTTTGGGGGGACCAGCCTGAGACAGGGCCTGGCTGTACTCAGGCTCTCAGTGTGATTCTGTACAACTTGCTTCTCCCTGGTTTCCCCATCAGCCAAGGGCAGGAGAGTGAGTCCAGGAGCAGGGCTGGGCCACAGGTGCCTGGGAGGATGGGGCGGGGCTCACCAACAAAGAGCAGCGTGAAGATGAGGGTGAGCTGGTACACGGCGTGGCCCAGGATGTTCTTCATCATGGTCCGCGAGATGAGGGGCTTGTTGCGGCCGTATGGCTTCCGCAGCAGCAAGGTCTCCGTGGGTGGCTCGGTGGCCAGCGCCAGGGAGGCGAAAGTGTCCATGATGAGGTTCACCCAGAGCATCTGCACGGCCTTCAGGGGGGAGTCCTGGGGAGTGCAGGCAGGGAGGGAGCAGTCACCTGCGGAGGCCATCTGCTCCCCTGCACCTAGCGGCACCCTGCCACTTCTGCTGTTCCTTCAGGCAGAGGCCAGGGCTGCCCCAGTCTCTCCTCCATCTCATACTAGATGTTGTGATCTGAAAAGATGTGTGTGTGTGTGTGTGTGTGTGTGTGTGTGTGTGTGTGCCCTGCAGCAATAGTGCTTAACTATAACGAGCAGGGCTGGCGAGACTAAGTTAGGATTTGTTTTCTTTTACACCTAAGTATCTCCTGACTTCGTCAGGTGTCAGGGAGGGCCTTAAAACACTGGTCTGCTCCTTTCCAGGTGAGTGGATGGATTTGCGGGAGGTCCAAGTTCTGCTTCCACTCGGACCAGAGTGCTGTGTGTTCATCAGTCGACTGCGCATGCTCACTTGCGGCCTGATGCCTGCCCTGTCCCGTCCACCTGCTGGGCAGTGTCACACCCGTGTCTGGGAGGCAGCCACCGGCCACCATCTCCCTTCCTAGTCCCTCCATCAAAGACCTCCATGAACTGCGAGTCCTTTGTTCTGCTGTGTCTCCCTTGCTGTTGGCCTTCAGAAGCCTCCAGAGCTGCGGCCACCATGGCAGTGTCCCTCAGCTGCCACTAGAGGGAGCCGTCATCCACAGGTGAGGGGAGAGGACCTGGAGCTCTGGGAGCCCTACCTCACCCACCCCATCGCTGGTCCTCGGGACCGGGCACCCTCACAGTTCAAGATGCCAGAGGTTAGGGGGCTCCTGTGAGCACAGATGGTCTGTCCCAGTGACTGTTGGCAGGGTCAGGCCTTGGGCACCTCTGGTGCCAAGGCAGCCCACTGTCTGCTCTCCAGGTCTGATGGTCAGCGGTTGGGGAGCCAGGCTGGCCACTGTGTGAGGCAGCTCGAGGACAGCTTGGTCGGCATGGCCTTTTTGTCTTCCGAGCCTCTGTAAGGTGGGCTGACCTGAGTGCCTCCTCATGGGCTGCAGTGAAGAATCAGTGAGTCTGGAGGGGCCCAGGACCTGCTGCCCAAAACTCTTCCCAGCCCTGTGGCAGAGCTGCTGACCTGGAGGGGCGGAGCCCACTGTCCCTCAGTCCCACCAGGCTTGCCCAACACTCCTTGGAGAACTGAGGCCCCCGGGGCCACTGCGGTTCTCTGTCCTCTGCCAACCGTTCAGTCACCTCTGGGCCCTGCCCTGCCTCTGTTGCTCCGGCTCTGCTTTCCCACCTCCTGGAGCTATGGGAGGCTGAAGCCAGGGTCAGGCAGTCGGGGTGTGAGACCTGACACAGGCCCTGGTCACCTCTGCTTTGCTGGTACCTGGATCAAGCCCTGCGATGCAGCTCCTGACCCTGGCAGCACTATCCCCAGGGGCCCTGGGGTTTACCCTGCCCCAGGCTTTTCTGTGCCTACTGGGACCCACCTGTGTGATGCAGGCGCCCGTGAAGGCCACTATCACAGCCACTACGTTGACAGTCAGCTGGAACTGCAGGAACTTGGAGATGCTGTCGTAGACGTTGCGGCCCCACATCACAGCCTTCACAATGCTGCTGAAGTTGTCGTCGGTGAGGATGATGTCTGAGGCCTCTTTGGCCACATCAGTGCCTGCAATGCCCTGTGGGGACAAGGACAGGAACCCAGGGGTAGCTATGGGGGCAGTGAGGGGCTCTATACTGCTGTCCATGACCCGATACCTTCCCAGCTCCACCCCATCCCTGCTTCAGAGACCAATATGGCCAGGCCACACTTGGGAACACACACGCAGCCCCTGGCCCTCATGGCCAGAGCCCTGCCCTGGCGCCCCTTTCCCTCTCCTCATGCCTGTTAGCACAAAGCTTTTGGGAAGAAGGCATCCTGTACCCTTCCAAGAAGAACACCCCCCCCCCGAGCCAGGCTGAGGTCTAAAAGCTTTGGACACACATAAAACGATGGTGGGTGGGTCGAGTGTGACCTGAGGGTGCTTTAGGCCCCTCAAGCCCTAGTCTATGAGCTTGTCCCAGACACCACCCAGGCCCCTGAGCCGCTCCTACCATGGCGAAGCCCACATCAGCCTTCTTGAGTGCAGGCCCATCATTGGTCCCGTCCCCGGTCACAGCCACCACCTGCCGCTGCTCCGTGTGTGTGCTGTCGATGATGCCTGTTGGGAGGTAGATGTGCTCAGGGCTCCCTGGCCAAGGAGTACAGCATACCAGGCCAGCCCTCCCTAGTGGCACAGCTGCCTTTGGCCCCTGTTCAGCCAGCCCCCACCATTGTGGCTCTTCCTGGCACCTAGGCCATGCTGGGCACCTGGGCCAGGTGAGGGGCCTCCACAGCTAGGGCCCTGCCCATCTCTCTGTCTTTGTTCTTGTATCTCTTAGCCACACTGCTGGCTGCTGCTGCCAGAAACACTGTCCCTTGACTTCTCTGCCTGTCTCAGGCCCCTTGGCCTCTAGAGCTCTGCGTGGTTTGGAGGCTCACTGCTTCTCCACGGCCATGCCATCCATGGGTAACCGCAGCCCCAGGGCTCTAGCCTAACCTCTCTCCAGACATGTGTCCTCATAAAATACCCCACATGACCAGCACGAGCAGGTGACATGTGGTCCCAGCCCCTGGCAGGACTATGGCCAGCAGATGGCAGGTGTCCTCACAAGAAACCCCTCACAAAGTGGCTTCTTAGGCAGGGATGTCCCTGGAAAGGATGGAGTGTGGGTGTCAGCCCTGACATATCCCTCTGTTTCTACAGGTCAGTGCCTCACCAAGGCCTGCGTTTTGTGGCTCTAGAACTTCACAGAAATCCTGCCTTGCCCTTGGTCCATCTCTGCCACTAGAATACCTGTGTCCCTTCGTGGCCACTCCCCCCAGGAGCCCCAGGCTGTCGCTCACACTCCTCCCTGGCTTTGACAAGCATGTGTGCTCGGAGGCCCTCCCTGGCCAGGCCTTGCGCTGACCCCATTACACCTGACTGCCCTGTCTGTGCTGATCCCTCCTGGCTGATGCACTCCGTTACCTGTCTGTAGCTTTGGCCTTTCTGCTGCCTTGAGGACCCTTGCCCACCCCTCCTGGGTTTCTGTGCCAGGCAGGTAGTGGCTGTTATGGGGAGGTGAGGAGCCCCACACCCTGGGGGCCTATCTCCTCTAAAGCACTACTCACCCAGGCCCACCTCTTACACCTTGTGGCCCAGGAGTAACCCTGGGCCGCCTTCACTCTGCTGGGGCTGGCCTGGGTCCCCTCCTTTAGGCCTATAGGGCCTGTATCCTCAGAAAAAGTCCTGAAAAGCACTTTTCGTTCCCTGAAAAGCACTGGTTCCTCAGGTGACGGGCTTTCTTTGTGGCACCTGGGTTGGCTCAGACTTCTCACAGCCTCCAACTGCTCCCAGTAGAACAGAGAGCTGGGAGGAAGCCCCCCCCCCTGTCCTCTCCTTGCCTTCAGCCCTACAGAGCTACTGGGACTTCCCTGTAGCCACCTCCTGTCCTCCAACTGCTCAGCCTCAGTTCCCATTGTGCTCATCGGTTTCTTTCCTGTACCCCTCATCCCAGGCTGCCCCTGCTCCTCAGCAACCCTCTTTGGTTTCCTTGGATAGGGTCTCAGCCCCCATCACCACTCAGGTGGGAGCTCCGCTTCTCCCACCCTTGCCGTCCCTGCCCCTGGCCTCTCTCTGACTTGGTGGCCAGCTGTCTGGTCAGCTCCACTCAGTGTCAGAGGCCCTGGCTCAGCCAGTCCTACCCGGAGTACATCTCTTCTCCTCAGACCTGCCTCTTTCCAGCAACATCCACCTGGCCACCTGAGAGCCACAGAGTATTCAGTGTGCAGGCTTTCAAACACCGAAGGCCCAGGAATCGAGGCATTTTTCCTGGGCTGAGCTTCTCCACCTGCAAATGTCTCCTGTCCTGAAGACTGCTGGCCCTGCCATCACCAAGTCCAGGTGGCAACAGTCCACTGGCTAATCTTGGTGGTCCCTTCCCGAAGCAGGAAGCAACATGATGCTACTCCCCTGTTCCTACACAGGCCGGCTCTGGGTCAACAGCACAGCGCAGGTCGGGTGGTTAACTGGGCTCCTAGCACAGGGCTTCCCAGGCTCCTCCTCCTCTCTCAGGAGGCCTGGTCATTCTGAGCTCTGCAGTGCTTTCCCTGCCTGCCTGTGATACCCACTGTGAGAGTCAGAGCTGGTGAGGACCCCATTCACCCTTCGCAGCCACCACTCAGCCTGTCACTCTGTGGAGAACTGCTGCAAACTGCACTGTGGATTCCAGAGTGAAGGACCATGCCTGGCTAAAGCAGAGGTTGGCACAGAGTAAGTTCTCAATAAATGGTTACTTGGAGAATAAGCGAGCTGATGAGGGAATGGGTGAACGAATAAGAGATAAGGATGTTCCAGTATCTATGGCTTTAGGTTTGTATTTCTGTCCCTAGACCTGATCTACTGCCATTAATGTCCTTGGGCAACATCCTTGAGACAGAAATTCAAGACACCTAGGGATAATTCAAGCAGAAAAATAGGGAAACTGAGTCCCACAGTGGAGGGACTTGCCAAGACCACAGAGCAGGTCAGTAGCAAAGCGGGCCATGAACCAGGTGTTATGGTGTGGATGTGTTACCTTCCCCCAAAGGCTCACTGTATTGACCACTTGCTGAGGACAGATTTGGGAGGTAACTGGATCGGCTGGTCCATGGGTAAGGTTGTTACCTGACAGCACTGCTAGGAGGTGATGGAGCTGGGTGTGTGTGCCTTGTCAAAGGAGTGGATCCTGGCCGTGGCCTTGGGGACAGTCTGGTCCCCAGCCTTTCTCTTGGACTCTTCCTTCTCAGCCTGTCCTCCATGAGGTGAGCTCCTATTCCACCACAGGTCTCTGCCACGATGTTCTGTGTGGCCATGGACCCAGAAGCAACTCTACCAAGTAACTTGGCCTAGAACCTCTAAAACCATGATCCTGAATAAAACTTTTCTCTTTTAAATTGACTTGGTCAGGTATTTTGTTATGGCAGCAAAAATCTGACTGATACACCAAGGCTGTGTGACCCTGAAGGTGACCCACAGCTGCTGTCCTGCCTTAGCCAGGCATGGTCTCTGTCTCTCTCTGGAGGAGAAGCAGAGGGAGAAGGGATGCATGCATGGCCTTCCTGCTTGGGCTACTCTTCCAGGCCAACTTTTCCACAGGTGCTAGTTCTAGATGCTGATGGGGTCCTCAAAGGTGGAGCTGAGGTCTCAAATTCCCAAGCTATGGGACAACGAGAATAAATGGGCAGGCTGAGCGCAAGGTCTACACAAACCACTCGGTTCAGCATAAGGGGTCCAGGAGATGATGGGTGGGGAAGGCATGAAAGCGAATTCAAAGTGTGTTGCAGACAACTCCATATGATGTATGTAGTTACTATGTACTGCACACACAGACTAATAGAAATTAAAATTTAAAAAAAGTCAGCATAAAAAGGAACTACGTGTCCATACAGAGCACATTGGTGGACCCCACTTGGGACTTGAGCCATGGGTTTGAGACCCTACACGATCCATTTCCACTGCTTCTCGGAGCAATTGGAGGTGCAGGAGAGGTGGGATGGTGAGAAGTTCTCCCAGGAGCAGGGAGTGCCAGCACCTGCATTCCCTCCTGTAGAGAGCTGCATGCTAGGGTGGTTCCTGCCCTGTGAGGGCCTCAGTGTCGCTTGAGGGCCCTGGCTTACCTTTGACCAGAGTGTGCTTGTCCGTGGGGGAAGAGCGAGCCAGCACTCGCAGCTTTGGCCAGATCTTGTCGATTCGCTCCTGCTCAATCTGGAGAGGAATGGGATAGATAGTGGGTTGGTGGGGTCAGAGAGAGAAACTGAGGCTCAGGGATGGCAGGGTCCCCACCCAGAGGCACTGGGCTGTTGGTGGCACCTGGGGTAGCTCCTGTACAAGCATGCAGAGCCCATGCCTCCCAGTGCCTGTCTCCACTGTGTCCCTTGGGGACCCTTCACCCTGGCCACACACCTCCCCCTTCTCGTTGCGGATCCTCCGGTTGAACTCTTTGCCCTCCAGGCACAGGAAGTCTTCCCCTGGGTGGATGATGCCACATTTGATGGCGATGGCCCGGGCCGTGTTGATATTGTCACCAGTGACCATGCGAACTGTAATGCCTGCTCGCTGGCACTTGCGAATGGCTTCGGGGACCTGCATAGGAGGATAGGAGTCATGGGGGAGGGCACCACCCCGAGTAGGTGTCCCCCTGCAGAATCCGAGTAAGCATGTGTCCCAGACAGCTATAGGCAAGGGGACTAGGTAACCACACACGATGCTGTCTTCCCTCCTGCTCCAGGCAGGCGTCATTCATCTGCCACTGCATTCCCAGTTAGACCTGATGGGGCCTCAGAATTCTCCTCAGCACAGAGTCCCAGGCAGCAAAGGCCTTAAGAAGCTCCTTTTAGATCGATCTGGCTATGGCCAGAGTGCGTAGTACTTGATAACTACACTTGAACTTGTGCTGGTTTCATTCACAAACTCCATCAGCCTGTGTGGTTTCAGGTTTTTTGGGGGACGTTTGCATTTGGGGACATTTTATTTATAGACTGTGATATTGGCTTAGAATAATTACTCGTGACTCCGCTTCATGTAAAATAGGACAACTACGGGTTGCATCCTGTTCTCTTGACTGTTGCGACAGACTTACGTCTGGGCCAATGAAGTTGGATTAGACCCAGCTCAGCCAATCAGAAGGTAGCAACGCCCACTACCCCTCCTTTCCAGGAGCTCCTCCTGGAACTGTGGATTCACCCCGCAATTAGCATGTGGAAACCAGCCTGGGGCTGCTTCAGCCCTTTATGGGGAACACAGATCAACCGAACAAGTGATTTCATACCCATAGGCAGTGACAAATAATAAAATAATACGGCTACATTTGCTGCAACGTGTCTTAGAGTAGGAGAGAACATGTCAAGGGCAGAAAATTCAGTTGTACAGGAAAGACAAAAGCAGGTGACTCCCAAGCCTTGAGGCTCAACCCAACGCCCACTCTTCTTGCAGGGCGCAACAGCGGGCCCACGGCGGCTCACTCCCTTTTCTGCCCTGCTTGGTGGCCTGCCTAGAGAAGGTGAAGCCTGAACTCTCCCAAAAGATACGGTCCAGTCCTGAGCCCAAGCTGTGAAGGGAGAGCTCCGCCAGGGCAGGGGCTCTTTGGCAGTGATCTAGTGAAGTTGAGAGCACCAGGGTGAGCCCTCATCCAGAGTGAACGTGTCCTTACAAAGCAGGATGCTTTGGACACAGAGATGCATGGGGTGGGGCAGTGGGGGAAAGGCCTAGAGAGACGTCCCTCACCCTCCCTCAGATGGTGAGAAGGCGTCCAGGGGCAGAGCCCCTCAGCTGTGATAAGACCCCCTGGTCGGTTCCTGAATGCCCATCGGAAGCTGAAAGTACCAGGAATTTTATTCATTTATTTATTCTTTAAATCAGGAATCAGACTCAGGACCTGGTACTTGTCAGGTAGGTGCTGTGCCTCTGAGCTACGCCCCCAGCAGCACCGTGCATTCTAAACTTGCGCGGCACACACCTAACCCACTGCTCACCCTGCCTCAGCCACACAGAACTCAGCAGAGGCCTGGCTGCTCCCTCTTGGGATGGACACGTCTGTCTGATGGGGCTCGTGGACCTGCCCAGCACCTCCAGACAGTGTTGTGCTGGATACTGCTATCCCAGGAAAAGATTTCAACTAAGGTTTTTTTTTTTTTTTTTTTGTGGTATTGGAGATTGAGCCAGGGCCTTCACACTGAGAAATTCTGAGATAGGGTCTTGCTAAATCGCTAAATTTCCTGGGCTGGGCTCAAATTTGTAATCCTCCTGCCTCAGCCACCCAGAGTGCTGGGATGACACACATGTACCACCGTGCCCAGCTCTAAGCTCAAAATCCCCAGGACAACTTCTACTTTTAGGCCACTGTACTTACACTGAATCATCTTAAGCTGGACACTACCTAGACTGTTAGAGGGCAGCCCAAACGCTGGCCCCAGTCCTCACTTTGGACATGTCCTGCCTCCTGGTCCCCTTTTAGCTTTCAGGAATGGCAAGAACAAAGATGGACCTTAAAAAAGGCCTAGTTCAGGTCCACCCCACTCATGCCAGCTTCTCCTTCAGCTCCACCATTGGCTCCAGCTGGGGGCACTGCCCACCTCCTCTGGTCTCTTTCCCTCTGGCCTGCCCCTCTTCTGTCTCTCCCTACTCTGGCCACTAGTGCCCACCTGGGCACTGTCATGTGCTTCAGGGACTCCAAACTGGCACTTGAGAGAAAAACCAGGGCTCTATGCATGGCCCTCCTGTGGATGAGGGAGGGATACACGCCCCAGGATAGCTCCTGGTCTGGGGACAGAGGCCTCTTTAGGTACTAAGGGACAGCCTGTGCAAGAGGAAGCGACTGAAGGGCTGCAGGAGGCCAAGGGTTGCGGGATCCACTGGGGTTATTTCTAGGGCCTGGGCAGAGCCACCCACGTCTGCTCAGGTCTAGGGGTCATGTGAATAAGGCCTCAGCTTCAGCCCCAGCACCAGCTCATCGAAGCCCACCGAGAGGGTGAGAGAGAGGAAATGGATGCCCAGTGTCCACTCATACCCTCACACCCGTTTGGCCTCAGATGCAGAAGACAGAGAAGAGCTCTTCCTCCAGGAAATGCATACCTCATCTGGCTTCTACCCTGATGAGGAATTTAGGCCATGTTTCACACATGCGTAAAGCCTTGGTGTTGGAGCAGACTTTGCATCACTTGGCTCTGTCATTGCCCACTTCTACTCCCAGGTGTCCCCGAAGGATGGTCGGCCTGTTTTGCTTGCATACTTCCAATGATGGGGTACCCATCCCCTCCAAAGTTGGCTGCTCCACGGTAGACCCAATCTAACTTACAGTTTTATGACTTTCTATATTCAGATAACATGGTGCATCAGACCCACCTCTTGTATGGAGCCTTGGGTCTTTGGTACAAGCCTGATAAAGGGCTCTAGGATCACAGAGGAAGATACTGTAACTTTATAAAGCAGTATGTGGAGAGGAGAAATCAGAGAGTGCTTTCTGGCGCAGGGAATAGCTATGCCAGTTCTGTTTGGTAAGTAATGGAAGCTTCCTGTGGGCTGGGGCCACACAGCTGAGCACAGGGTGGCCCTGGATGCAGAGCCTGGGACCATGCTAAGGGTGACCCCTTGGAGGGGTTGAGGCTAAGCAGGATGTGGGCTGGGGGCCTGTGGTCAGAAGGTGGCCCTTCAGGTCCTGGGAGCCATGGGGGTCCTCTTGGAATGGATGGGGGAGCCCTACTTTCAGGATTGTTTCTGGTCCCCTCCAGGCTTCTCCCAGCACCGAGGGGTGGGAGAAACGTGCAGACCTCGCTTTCCCCTCCCTGCCATGGGGCAGAGGGCTTAGGGACTAAAAGGCTGAGCCGGCACCTGTTCACAGAGCCTAGGTTGCATCTGTAACGCAGGGGCTTACAGCAAGAGTGGGAGGGTTCCATGGAGCGCGCCTAGGACAGGGGCCTGCCAGACCTTCTCAATCGGGCTCTGAGCGCCGCGCAGTCTTCTCTTTTGGGCCCCATATCTCGGGGATCTGCGGCAACTGGGATCCTGAGGGTCCCAAAGGCCCCAGCCCCCGAGTCGTCCTATCCAGCTCCTTGCGCGGTGAGGCGGACCCCTTGAGAGGCGGGGCCTGGTGGTGGGCGGGGCCGGTCTCCTCCTCTTCCGTGACCCGGCCTGAGGCAGGGTGAGCTGATTGCTCTCCGCTCTCGCCTAGGTCCGGCTGTGCGGCCATGTCCTCAAGTCATGCAGTCAGCCAGCCATGGCCTTGCTAAGCAGTCCTGTCCTCCTTACAAACGGACTGGCAGGCATCTTACTCCAGTAGCAGAAAGTACACTGCCCGCCCACTTTGCCCCGCGCCTGCAGTCCCCCGGCGCTGCCTTTGCGCCCCACCCTGGAGGGACCCTGTTCTTTCTGCTGGCGTCCTCTCACCAGCTGCCCTGGGCACCGAGAATACAGGCAGAATTAAGGCTCCAGCTCCAGGGGCACTGGTTTGCTGGAAATAATAAATTCACAGCTACATTTTTTTGAAAAATGGCTTCTTTCACTAAAATTATCGTAAATAGTTCTCACTGAGGAGAAAGCCAGGAAAAATGCGTGCTTCCTGTTTTCATTAAACAAAGGCTTTTAAACCTCTGTTGTTTCTGGAGATGACCCTGATGATGCTCCGCGAGGCTGGGGTGCCCTGGGTTCAGGCTTTGCTGGAAGGCAGCGAGGAGCTCTGTCCCCCGCTCTACTGGGCCCAGGGACACACAGAGTGTTTTCTTGCTGCTGTGCACGGGATCTGAGCTGTCTCACGGCCTCGGAGATGCCCTGCAGGGTGGGCTGTGCGGAGCTGGTTGGTTGCATTTATGCTGGAGGCTGAGGTAGGAAGATCCAAAGTTTGAAGCCAGCCTGGGCAACTTAGTGAAGTCTCTCTCCAAGTAAAAAATAAAAAAAGGGTGGGTGTTCAGCTCGGGTATAACATCCCCTGGTTCAGTCCACAGAACAAAAAAAAACCCCAAAACCCACCACTGCCACCAAAGCGACAGACAGTCCTGGAGGGACAGTCACCTATGGCATGGGCAGCAGCTGCTGCTCAAGTGGGAGCCGGGGTGGAGACAACAGGGCGGCTCCACAAGGTCTGTGCTTCTGAGCTTTCCCGATGTGTCTCCACATGCAGAGAGGCAGAAGGAGGCCAACCGCGCCTACAGACTCCTCAGCACAGTGTTCATCTGAGCCTGTGGACCCTCAGAGAGCTGCTGCCTGCAGCTTGCTGTGGCTGCCACTGTGAACACTGGTGGCTCAACTCTTTCATTTCTCAGATGGTGAAACTGAGGCCACTGTGAGGGGATGGATGAAGGGACAGAGTTAGAGCCCAGGTCCTCGACGCTGGGCTCTCTGTGAGTCATTCTCATGCTGTTTGTGACTTCTCTCCATGGATGCTGACAAGGGCCGTGTCAGCTGAGGTGGGGTAGACCTGCCCATCAGCTGCCTCCCTGTCCGAGAGTCGGAGCCTGGAAGGGAGCTAAGGGATCTGTTTCGCAGATGAGCAGACCAAGGTGCTGTGAGGAGAAGTGGCTTGGTGGTGTGAGCTGAAGCTTGCAACCAGGCCCTTCCCAGAGTCTGTCAGCAATCACCTCCTTGGATGACCACACTGGCCACTGAGAACACCAGGGGCTGCTGCACTTGGGTCTGTCTCTTCTGAAAATGCCACGTGTTGTCTTCATGTGGCACCCAGGGTGCGGTGGATGGATAACTGATGGTCAACTTGTAACACCCAGCTGAATGGAACCAGGGTGGTGTTGGGTTTGGGAGGCCCACCTGAGGATTGTTGCCAGCAGCATAAGAGGCAGAACTTGAGAAGAAGAGATGCTGTTAGGGAAGCTTTTGGAGCTGTTAGTTTCCCTGGGGCTGCTGTTGGTTCTTGTGGAGAACGTTGTGACACTGGCTATCCTGATGAACTCAGCTGTTCTCATCAGTGAAGGAGCTCGGGACCTGGCTGTTGCTGAGAATGGCTAAGGTTTGCTTTGGGAAGGCTCTGGTCCTTACCTTGAGCATTGATTGCTGGCTCTAGAGGGGAAGATGGTGGTCTGCTCAGTCTCCTGGAGTAGCTTGTCATGTTGACTCTCCGGATGGGAACTTGTCTTCCCTCATCATCAGAGGAGCTCGGGACCTCACTGTTGCTGAGGATGGCTGTGGTACTTTTCAGGGGAGCTCTAGTTTTTAGCTTGAGCATTGCTTCTTGGCTCCAGTGCAGATCCCTCAGCCTACTAGCACAGATTGTTTATCCTACTGGCAGACTTTCTGGCTTCTACCACTAACCCCTGGGCCTGCCCAGCGCAAATCCCTGAAACAGGCCTGTGTGAGGCACTGTTGTGGGCTCTAGGCCTCCAGTTGGACTCATGGGAGGCATTGCTATGGGCTCTAGGTCTTCAGCTGGACTCCAGGCCCTCAGCTGGGTTTTTTGATCTTTAGTGTGTGGACAGACTACCCACACTCACTGTATATGATTTTTTTTTGTCTTGTATTATATTGTTCCATGGTAAAACCCCATACTACAACATAGGGGAAGACCCTGGGTGGAGAGGTAGACGGTCTGATCTAATCTGGCTGTGCCTGGCCACTTACAGGGAAGAGATTCAGGCACATGTCCCTGTTCCTCTGTGGGCCTGACAGCTTCACCTGCAGACTGGGGATTCCGGACAACACGTGGATGTGACCAGAAGCTCTAATCTCGAGTTGGATTTCTTGAGTGACTATGAAATCAGTTTAGTGGGTGATAACCTCATTCAGAAAACAAAGGGAAGAAATGGATGGAAAACATGGACTCTTATGGGTTATGCATATATGTTGACTTGAGTCATGATATAAAGTATGTTTCATCTTACTGGGGTCATGGCCAAAAAAGGTCTGTGACTAGTGTTTTTTATCCCACCTCAGGGACGTTCCTAGGCAAGCTGATGAGCCAGGAGCCTGGGGCCCAGCGGCTTCCATCAAGGAGGTAATGCAGCGTCATGAGGCCTGCATCCCCTAGTGGGTAGTCATGGGCAGCGTGCCCTGCGAGGCTGATAAATGGCCTGTCTGCCAGAGAGAGTGGCGGCCTTCAGGATCGTGCAGGCAGCTGTTGTCTCTGCTATTGTAGGGCAGGAATGAGGAGGGTGATTGAGACCTACTGAGTGTTGTGAGAGAATGTGTGTGTGTGTGTGTGTGTGTGTGTGTGTGTGTGTGTGTGTGGTACAGTGAGTCACAGTGTTAGACTGGGCTTCAGATGCATTAATTCTCATTCATTTCATACACACATATCAAGCACTTCTGCAGGCCAGGCTCTGTGTTAGGGGCTGCTGGATGCCTCAGATCTGAAGCAATGAGATGTCTGGGGAAGGCCTGAAGCAAGGGGATCCTCGATGATGGGCAACTGACCTTATGCCCGACACCTTTCTGATTGCTCATGTGGGTTACCTGACCCATGCAATAGCCCAGTGTGTGCGTGCGTGCTTGTGTATATGTGTGTACTATAATCATCCCCAGTCTAAAGACAAGCCCAGAGGGGTTATGTAACCGGACCATTGTTGCACAGCTGACAAGCCTGGCATTCCAGAACCCAGGCCTGTCTGATGCCTGAGCTTGCAATTGGAGCTCTGCTGCGGAAGTGTGAGAGGCCACATGTGTGAGCTCCCAGCGTACTTGTTCTTTGACATACAGAATCCAAGAGCAGTAGAGGGGCTGGGGATAGAGCTCAGTGGCATAAGCACCTTCCTGGAAGGTACAATGTCCCAAGTTGACCCCTGGTAAAGAGCAGTAGGCACAGGAGTTTGGGGGGCAGCTTCTCCTCCCTCCTCTTCTCCTCTCTTATGTCTTTTCTTCTTCTCTCTCTCTCTCTATTTTTTCTTTTTGGATTTTGTAAAGACAGGGTCTCCCTGTATAGCCCAGTCTGGATCTCATAGTGAAGTCCTCCTGCCTCAGCTTCCTGAATGCTGGAATTATAGGTATGTATCTCAATGTCTGGCTACCCTCTCTTACTTAAAAAAGGGGAAACTGAGGCTCTGTAAGAGAAAGCATAGAGAAGGGCCAGTGGCCCCTAGAGAATGGTGTTAGTGCAGGTTAAGAGAATCCTTAGGGGCCTGGCACAGGATCTCACAGTCCCTGGAGACAGCAGGAGTGGACAGCAGCTTCGGGAGTTCTGGGAGCAGGCCCACAGCAGCACCTTGGAGGTCCCAGGCTACAGCCATCTCCCCCTGCAGCCTCTGTTGCCCAGGCAGTCCTGGGACCACCACACCTCCTCCTCCTGACCTAGCAGGCCTCAGCACAGTCCTGGCCTCCCTTGGACATATATAGGATCTGGAAGGCCCACTGTATGCTAAGCACTTGTTAGTGCTGTCCCCCCATCCTGGTGATGCCCCTTCTGCTAGAGAATGTAGCCTGTGGTTGACTCTAAGCTCTGCACCTGCATATCTATTACAGGCCCAGCTGGGTCACCAGATAAGCTGGTCAGGGGGACAGGATTGCACACCTGTGAGAGGAGACAGGAGCAAGAGGAAGGGGGACTCCATACTCTGGGCTTTCCTGAGGACAGCAGCTCATGTGACCAGGAATATCTTTTACAGAGACCTGAAGTCTATGCCTAGGGATTTGCTACAAGAGACCCTAGTCCCTGAAGGGTGAGGAGCCTCTCTGGCAGAGTGGCCCTCACACCTGTCACCTGGGGACAGAAGGTAGAGCCCCTGATGGCTGGTTAGACGGCTGGAGGACTGTCCCATAGCGCAACACCACCGACTGGCCAAGCAGTCCTGTCTTTCTGTGCTCATATGAGCTGGATGTGGCCTTAATGAGTATTATGCACGAAAGGAGGTGAACAGCCCCTGCACTGTGTGGAGCCACAGGCTCAGGACCACCAGCCTCACCATACCTCAGGCCGCACGGGGTCCTCAATGCCCACCACGCAGATGCATGTGAGGTCATTGAGGATGTCGTTCTCATTGTCCCAGTCGGGCTCGGGGGTGTTGGGGAAGTCACGGTAGGCCACACAGATGGTGCGCAGCCCATCGCAGGCCATCGGCTCGATCACCTTCTTCACCATCTCGTCCCGGTCTCGAGGCCGGAAGACCCGGGGCTCGCCCGCTCCATTGAGGATTTTGCAGCATCTGGGGAGGGAGGAAGGGACAGAAGTGAGGGCAGGCCGAGGGCCCACCGAGTCCCCGGCTGGGACACTGGCTGCCTGCTGTGTTTGTCCCATCCATGCTCAGCTAGCTCATCTCCTGTGTGCCTCAGGACTGTCATGTGCCAGAGTCACAGGCTCTGTCTGCCTCAGTGACGCAGCTGCTGATGGCAAAGGCTGGGAAGCCTAGGCTCAGGGTTCCTGCCTCTGCTTATACACCAGAAGCATCTTTTATAATAATAAAACGAAACACTATTTAATTGCTAATAAATACCCATGTGTGAGCCCTGGATAGAGATTCCAATTCAAGCTGTCTCTAGGTTCACGTCTGTGAGCCCAACTTTCCGTTTCAGCGTTGGGGCTGGAAGCCAGAACTTCACACATTGCTAGGTGAGTGTTCTGCTGTTGGGCTGCAACCTCTGCCCAAGTCAGTGTTTTGGGAAATGTTCCTCTGGTGACCCCAGGCAACGGCTGGGTCCAAGGACCATGGGTCTAGACCAAGCCCTGCAGTGTGCAGTAGGCAGCCAGAGGCCCAGGGAGGGGGTGCCTTGCTTAGTTTTCCTGGCTTATTTCTAGTGTCTGGAGTTACAGAAGCCTGGTTAACAAGGAAAACAAAGAGTGAGTGGCCTTTGAGGTGAGTCTCACTCTGTGGCCTTTGGATGTCTGAGGCTTCCAGCCCAGAGAAAGGCTGGCCCGGCCTGGGTGATGACAGGCACCATGGGACCTAGCCCTCCGCTGCCCCACCTGGCCGGGCCCTGCCCTGAGCTTGCCAGCCACCTACTTCTTGAGCACGATCTCCGAAGCGCCTTTGCTGTACATGCGGAAGCTCTCGTCGGGCATCTTGATGACGGTGCTCATGGACTTGCGCACGGAGTTGAAGGTGTACACTTTGTACAGCTTCTCCTCTGGCATCTGGCTGCGCACGGGCTCGTAGTCCTGCTTCAGGTCCAGCACGAAGCCCAGCAGGCCACACTCCGTCTTGTTGCCCACCTGCCGGGGCAGGGCGCCCTCCTTCTCTGGGGGCTGTGGGGAGAGGCAGGGGTGACTCACAGCAGCAGCCCAGGCCTAACCCTGTGCCAGTTGGGGGACTCGCCAGCTCATCCTAAGTGAGATAAGTATTTCAGAAATGATGAATCCTTTCAAACATGAACTGAGAGAATGTCATAATCATTATGTATTCCCCCATCTGCTTTATAGAATTTTGACATTATGCTATATTTGCTCCAGGTTTTTCTTTTTTAAGCAAACACATCAGATAAAGTGAATCTCCTCTGTGTATTTTTTCTCATCTACATAATTTACCCCCTGACCTAGAATCAACCTCTGTCTCAAATTCAGCAGTAATCACTACCGAAATACATGCTTTAATTCTGAGACAACTGTAGACTCACATGCAATAAGAAATAATTCAAAAGCCTTTGTACCTCTTTGTTCCCCATGGTAACCTCCTCATCAATGCAGCCGGGTCACAGCCAGGGGGATGACTCTGAGGCCATCAAACGCCTTCGTACCCGCTTCATGCAAACTCACGTGTGCGTGTGTGTGCATCTAGTTCTTTATGATGGCACTGTGATTGCCTGATGTCAGGATGGGGTGCTTCGTTGCAAGGGTCCCTGGGCTATTCTTCGACAGCAGCTCTTACCTCCTCTCTGGCCTTGCATTAATGATCTATGCCCTGTCTTCAGACTTCCTTTACTTTTTTTCTTTGGCAGCGCCAGAGGTGGAACCCAGAGTCTCATGCATGTTAGGCAGTCACTCCAGCACTTCTGACGTTTCAAGCCCATCACATCCAAGTGATCTCACAGTATGTAACTCTGGGGGTTTGACCTTTTCACTCAGCACAATCCCTGAGACCTAGGCCAGCTGTTCTGTGTGTCCACAATGTGTTCCTTTTGGTTGCCGAGTAGTATTCTGTGGTGTGCATGGACCACCCTGATTTCTATGTAGGCTGGACCACGTGAAATGACTGTTCTCTGGCAAAAATGGTCAGACAGTGGCGGCATCCGGCTGTGCAGCCCTGCTGCTTGGCATAGGAGGCAGTGCACATCCTTTTATAGGGTGATTTGCTCGCCCCACATTCTGCTGGTGAGATTTCTTTGTATGTATGGCTCCAGTTTGTTCTCCTACCTCGCTCTACAGACTGCACTACATGAAGAAGCCACACCAGCCTTTCCCCTCTTGGGCCCTCCTTCATTGCCTTCCCTTTACACTCATTGGATGCATACTTGGGCACCTGCCATGCCCTCTCCATGGGCAGCTCCTGCCCTGGACACTTGGTGAGTCACTGATTGCGTCTCCTGGCACTTGTCACTTCCCTAGGTGGCTGGCTTCTGATTTGGTGACTTCTCCCTGCTGTTCCTTCCCAGTAGCACCCTCCCTCCCTTGCAGGGAAAATTCTTCTCATCCCTTAGGGACAAATTGAGCCATCTCCTGTGTTTGCAAGTTGCCCCCCAGCCCATCCCTTGCATTCTGTTCCTCTGTGGATTCTTGAGGCTGCACAGAGCCCAGCACACAGTAAGGCTTGCTATCTGTTTGCCAGTTAACCCAAGGAAGGCCCATCTCCCAGAGATGATGCCCGATGCTCACATCTGGGCACTGCCAAGTGGGCTCTGTGGTTGACTCAGCTCAGTGTAGATTTGCAAGGAGGCTTGCTTCTCTTGTAGGCTTGCAGGCATGCACACACCTACACACGTCACTGGAAATTGATATGCAGCTGCTCAGGTGGAGGTGGTTTGGGGAGTAGTAAAAGCTAACAGAGAGAAGTAAGCCCTGGAGAGATTCTGAAGAGGAATGAATAGTAGCAACCACCCCACATCTCCCACCATCTCAGTAGTGTTTTTGTTTTTGCTGTATTGGAGATTGAACAAAGCTTTGCACTAAGCTACATTACTTGCCCTTAAAAAAAAAAGGTTTAAATTTTGAGACAGGGCTTCACTAAGTTGCTCGATAGTCTAGGCTGGGCTTGTACTTGTCATCCTCCTGCTTCAGCTTCATAAGTACTGGGATCACAGGTGTGTACCACCCACAC